TTCAATTAAATAAATTTGATTTCAATTAAATTTTATAATTGTAATTAAATCACGTTGAAGTTTCATGATAATTCTCATGAAATAGATCAAAATTTTAAAATCCTTAATAAGACCTAGCCAATTAATGTTACACAAAAATCTTAAACCTAGCTTGCCCCGGATCTAACTTCAGAGGTGTTCAATTCAAAAGCTTCCAAAAGCAAACTGTTAGAAGGAAATTAAGGAAAGGGAGAGGTGAAGGGCTGCCACTATGAAAATAAAACTTGTCCAAATAATAGGAACAGCAATGTATAAACAAAGAGGGTCGTGAGGGAGGGACCATTGGTTCCGATGCTTTTGCATTTGCATGTGATATGTTCCTTTTAAATTTTGACAAAGGGTCCACCTCCCTTTCCTCAAATATAGCCTTCTTCCATTAATTAATTTTCTTTTTAGGGTTTTAATATTTAAATTTCTCAAAACCCTAGATTATGGCCACTGTTGCATTGTCGGTGGATCCAATGTGCTTCCTCACATGCCAAAAGGCTTAAAATATCCTCAGTTACCCACCTAAACTAAATGAAACAAAGTAGAAAGTGGAAATATTTTCATGCTTATAATGAGGGTCACAATAATTTTATACTATGTTCTTAAAGATCTGCCAAGGAGACATTTAATAACTCTAATTTTATGGGCTAATTAATTCTAGTGGGTCCTAAGATTTTATAATAAAGCTTCAAATGTTGGTACCACTCAAAACTAAGTTTATAAAATACTTTTAATGATTATAAAATTAAAATTGCATTATATTGTTGGATATTGGATTTTGTTACCGTATTTTATTTAATTTTTTTGTCATTGTATTTTAATTTCGTTGATTTGTGACAAAAAAAATTAGCGTTGAACTATTCCATTAATGTAAATGATAAATTTTTATTTTAAAATATGGTGATATAATTAAATAAAATTAAAATACAATGATAAAATCAATATTAACTCATAATCTAATGATAAATTTAAATTATTCCCGTATTTTTTTAATGAATGCAATTAAATTTTTTACAATGAAAAGCATGTGGTAATTGAAGGAGAGGACATTTGGTATAGGAAAATGAGAAGGGAATCATGGTATCCATTCCAAGCTTAATTTTTCCGCTCTTTGATAGTTGCAATCAAGAAGGATGCTTATGGGGATATGTACGACCCCTGCAAATCAAAGAGAAACCGACCTTTGATCTTGGATTTGTGGGCCTGCCAATAACCACCGACATTGGCAACAATTTGGTCGAATGTGTAGTATTAATAAATCTGGCCATTTTAAATGATTTAATTGATCAATGGTTGTAATCATTCATCACGGTAGTCTATATGCCAGGCCAATTATTATTTTTTGGTTGATTTGTTCAATAATGGAGTTTGGACCCACAGAGAGTACATGTTCATAATTGCAGCAGATATCATATATTCTTGGTGACAGACTAGTTTAGTTGGGTATCTTTTCCAATGGGGACAGGCCAAGCCACTTCTGTAGATGTTGCCTCCTTTGATAACGTATACAGTCAAGGTGCTTCTTGTACCATTGGCAGGCATGGGATGGTGCATAAATGTTTCTTAGATTTTATCTACAATAGCAAATATATATTTTTCTTTTTTGTCATTTAAATTAATTTTTTTACATGTGAAAAGTCTACATAAAATCTAAACTCTAAATTTTAAAATAAAAATATCACATTAAAAATTTTATTAAACTATAGGGATCAAATATGACATTATTTTTAATCAAGTTAAATTGGCAACCTTAATTCTAACTTTTAAACTCATTTATTCCGGCTAATTAAGTTGATTAAAATAAAAGATAAATTTTACATTTTACGCACCCCTCCCTAAGATAGATAAGCAGAAATCTTTTGATTTTGTAGTCTGACTATAAGGATATTTTATTTTTATTAATAAATATTTTAATTAAAAAAAAAAAAAAAAAAACAAACTTTACATGATGCCATAATGCTAGGCCATAAGTCCATAATTAAGTCATGGATTCTGGTTAATTTCCTCTCACAATTCCCAACAAGTACTTCTCCATCTTACATGATTAACTAAAGAGACAACATCTATTTTGTGACACCCAAATCCCTGCCTTAAGACCAGATAATAATGCATACAAAACAAGGTCAAAACTATGACTTTCACCTGTCCTTTACGCTATACAAAACAAAAAATGATGATTGCTTAGAGTTCTGATGTTCCTAACAATTGGCCGTTAAAATGGGGCTTGGAACACCAAAACGACACGTTAACCAAAGGAAAGAAAACTAAATATGCAATAGCGGCAATGCCAAACCAAAAAGTTTCATCATATGCATCGTTTAATCTCTCAATCGGTTCAATTTGCAAGTAACTAATCATGGCTTTTTTAACGGACAGAAAAGGAAACTTAACTTGTCAGTTGGTGTGCGTTTGCGTGGGTTTGTTTTCTATGACAAAACATTGGATGTTAGATAGATTAGAACAAGTTTTGATTGGCTTAGACAATGCATGATGTTCAAGTAAGGTAGTAGACTTGCTATCTTGTTACTTAAGTCAATCAACTCTGCTTGAAAACCCTGCTATAAGAAGGTTAAAGAGTCAACTAATTTGATAAGGTATGTATGTTAGGTTGTGGCATCATCATTTTTGGGATGAAGATCGTTCTCTTTAACAAAAGTATTATTTTACTTCATAAATGTAATTGTGATTTAATAAAATTTCTTATTTATCTATACATAAAAGATTTTATATTTAACCAATAAACGTTGGTTTAAGTGAAAAAAAATTTGTTTATTTTTATTATCCCGAATTAAAATATTATTTAAAAATAAAATTTACATTTGATGCATTATTTTCACAAAATTAACATTTGAGTCTATTAATTATCACTTATATGAATTCAACATAATCAAATTAATACCGAATATCCATTTATTTACTATTTACTGTCATCCTTTTTAATTTCTCTAGAGATGAAAAAAAAAAAAACTAATAAATGAAAGCAAACAAGGTGTGTTTTTTAATTTTGATTGAAATGCTGAGTTTTGATTTATAGAAAGCTAATGGAGAGCATAAATCAAATCGTCTAATTGGGCTGGGAATAATTTAGAACTGGATTATGGGCTTTCCTAATACATTTTACAGGGGTTTAATTTGTATTTGGGTCAGTAAGTTGGGCTAATTGGTAAAAGAGTAGGGCAATACGAGGATACATGCCTAAGGTTTTTCTTTAACAAATATTATATATTTAAAAAAAAAAAAAAGAAAATAAATTATTCATCCTTCTCGAGATCTTAAATTTGAAATTTATCGATGATTATTTATTGAGATAATCTTAAATATATAATCTGTAATCATCTACCTTGAGTTATCAGATACGATACATCTTACTTTGATTTAAAAAATTAAGTATTACAAATATATATATATAATTTTGTTTTCATTACTACTATTGATGAAAAAAAGTCAACATACACTGAAGATCACAAGGAGATAGAAAAAGTCTCTTTCCAAGGCTCCACCTCTAAATGCCAAAAAATAGCAAGGAGTGATATATTTTTCTAAGATAAATTAAAACTACTCTTAAGATCGTCAATTTTTTTGGTAAGTTCATGCATGAAACCACTTTGCCACTACTTTCCATTTATTTTATTTTATATTATTTTGAGATCAAAGTATTTCACTAATAATTTTTTATTATAGTTTTAAATTATTCAACTATAATAAAAAATTACTAAAAGTCATCCATTTATAAATCTGTAAATTTCATATAATATTTGATAAAATTACACATTTGTAAATTATAATAATATTTTGTTTTTTACGATGAAAGCTCGTATGCTTTCATATTTTATTTTTATTAATTATCTAAGTAAAATATTAAAACAAGACATGGTACACGCTGTAAAATATTACACTCAAGGGATCTTTAATATTAAAATGGTTAAATCATTTATGAAAATCATAAATAAAAAATAAAAGTCAGTTCAAGGTCTAATTTTTAATTAACATTTACATAGATTAGATTCCTTGTCTTGGTTGGTGCCTTGTTGACATAGCTAAGGACCAATTTCACACGGAATAGAAAAAGCCCACGTCCAAATTGGACCACACTATTTTTCCTCTTCTTGTGTAAAAGAGTCCTAAGTTCCATCCAATAAATTCATCAAATCTCTGTATAGAGCTCACAATTTAAAAATATAATATAAATATGATAAAAAAATAAAATATAGAAGTAACATAATTTAAAATTTTAATAATTATTATATATACATTTAATAAAAATAAAAAATAAATATTTTATAATTATATATAAATTATAATATATTATTTTTATATAAAATACAATATAAATATATAAATTATAATATTTTATTTCATACATATTATCAGATTTGCACCGGCATTGCTTAATATTTTCTTAACTGTCAAAAGTTCCTAGAACCGCCCCTCTCTGTTTCCTCATCACTTAGCCTACGCGCTACTGTTGGAAAATAAACCTCACATGCCCAATTTTTTTTGGTTTTCGGTTTAATTTATTACTATTATTGCGACTAAAAGAACTTATTTATAAAATGTTATAAAAAATTATTGTGAAAAATTATTATTTTAAAAATTTTAATATTTGATATATTATTATTGATTAATTGTCCATCTTCAAAATTGAATCCAAAATTCCATATTACAATCTAAAATTCAACCATTCTTTTTATTGTGTCCTTTTAAAAATAATATCACAAATTAAATGCAAAGACTAGTTGTTCCGGACCTTATAAAATTCAATCTATGTCAAATTAAAAAAAAAAAAAATTCCCTAAATTTTTTATTTTCATAAAGACATGGGTAAACAAGGAAAAAAAACACCATGGATGAATTAACTATTTTCTTTTATTTTAATATTTTTGCGTGTCCACTAGTAGGACGAGTACATTTCTTCTCCAACTCAAGCAAGTGGCCTAAACTACCCACTAAGAGTAGTTACCCTGGTGTCGAGTATTGCTTCCAATCGGAACCATGTTTGCTTACATCCGCAGTTCTGAGTTATTCTCTCTCTTCCTCTTCATATATAAACAAAAGAAACCTTTTTTAAGTATTAACAGACTTTCTACCAATTTTTCAGCTTTTGGTCTTTTTCTACTTCTATAAATATAATAAACCCAAATCAATCACAAAAAGCCTGTAGGACTCTTGTTGAACCTTCCTTTCTCATCTTGGTAATATCTTGTGTTCTTTTCTGTTTTGTTGTTCTGTTCCTTTAACTGTTCTGGTTTGTAAACTTGAACAACATTATGTTCTTGGTCTTTAGGCTTCCTTGATTTGTTTTCTCCTTTACTTGATTTAGTTCAACTGGAATCAACATATGATCAGTTGGGTCACTCTTAGTTTCTGTTTTTTTAAGAGTTTTGATAACTTTGAACTATAAATAGTTTGATTTAACTGCATGATGGTGTGTTTTCTTAATGAGTTTTTGCTTGTTGAACTGGAATATTCGCCAACTACTATATTTTTCTCCCCTTGGCTTTGGAAAATTTGTGGAGTTGATTCGATAATCTGCATGAACTGAATTTTATTGATGACTTGTTTTTCATTATGCTATATTTATTGCTTTATTTTCTTAAATGGGTTTTTGGAGTTAATGTTTGTTGTTAAAAAATTGACCTGCAAAGCATATGATTTTTCTTTTTTGAATTGAGGATGCTGGAATATATGGTGAATGGATGTAAACAGTTCAAATTGCATTGGAAAAGCGTTGAATAACTTGATCATAATCTCCTTATGAAAGATACATGCATTTGAGTGTTTATAGTTTTGTAAAACTTGCTTTCTGCAGGAGTGGCTGCTAATTAGAGACCTCAGTTTACATATTATAAATTTGATACAGTAATTGGATGCCAGATTTTGTATTTGAAATCTAGTTGTATTTGAGAATGCCCTAAAATTCAGAGAACTGATGACCATGACTTGCTATTCTGTTAAAGAAGTTAGGTTATAAACTTGGCATTCATTAAGTTTAAGCCGCATGACTTTGTTCCTTCATATCAAATGTCTGATGGCATCAAGGAACTATGATAAACATACCCCTTTAGTTCTTTCTTTCCTTCTGTGTGGTTGTAAACTTGGTGGATTCAATTTATTGATTGAACAACATATTGAAAAAATAGTCTGAAAGTGTTTTGTATTGAGGTAGAAAGAATCTGATGGATCAGTACTGTTCTTGTACTTTTTTCAGTCCAATCAACACTTGAGCAGATTAGCCCCTTTCTTATATTTATGAGATATGCCATTACTGCACGTCTTAGCTGTTCATGGATTCCTCCATTGGTTTTATTGAATCATTAATGCTTTATATTGTTATCGTGTCCATAAGTTTTGAGTAAATTTGATGAAAGATGCTGATCAGACTCTTTGTTACTTTTCAATTGCAGACGTCAACCATTCTTTGTTGATTGCGCTGTGAAAGATATTCAAAGTTGGTGAAAATAGTCTTTATGTTTCAAGCCATTGTTAATTAAATCATGCAGTTATATCATCATCCATACTCATTGGACAGCCAAAAGGTCAGACTCGCTTTGGAAGAGAAAGGCATTGATTACACCTCATTTCATGTCAATCCTATTGTTGGCAAGAACATGGACTCCTCGTTCTTCAGGATGAATTCTAGTGCCAAACTCCCTGTTTTCAAGAATGGTTCTCATATAATTTTCGACACAGTTGAAATAACCCTGTATGTTCTATCCTTCATTGACAATTTTTATCCACTTAAAACCTTCTGTGCACTTGGATGTAATTTCAAACTTGCATTGACAACCACTAGAATTTTCTACTGTTGCTTACTAATGACTTATAATGTGTGTAAGATATATGCAGGTACATTGAAAGAATTGCAGTTGTCTCTGTTGGTAACAATGGCAATGCCTTAAGCAGCGAAGAAGTAAAAGAGTGGATGCTCAAGATACAAGAATGGAACCCCAAGTATTTCACTCTGTCAAACATTCCAGACAAGTATCGCCTCTTTGTTTCTAAATTCATAAGGAAGGTGGTGATTGCTCGGATGGCTGAATCTCCAGACCTAGCTAGTGCTTACCACTGTAAACTCAGGGAAGCATATGAGACCGAGGAGAAGCTGAAAAACCCTGATGTTCCGAAAAGGAGCAAAGAACATCTGGTTCAACTACTTGATGAAGTTGAAACAAAGCTGAATGAAACAACATATTTAGTAGGGCACGAGTTCACCATGGCAGATGTGATGCTCATTCCAGTGCTAGCTCGCTTAGTACTCCTGGATTTGGAAGATGAGTATATAAATAGTAGACCAAACATTGCAGAGTACTGGAGTTTGGTGCAAAAAAGGCCTAGCTATAAGAAGGTAATAGGAAGGTATTTTAGTGGCTGGAGGAAGCGCAAAACTCTAATAAAAACTTGGTGCTTTCTTCATATCAGAAATTTGCTGAAGAGATATTGATTAAGGACTGTGGGTTAGAGGTGACAGGATAAGGTAAGTGTAAATTGAGATGCGTAAAATGAGTTGGAAAGAAAAATTTGCAATTGTATTTATTTTTCTTCTTGTTATCCTTTAAATTACAGGATTTTTGTTCTCTTTCGGCTTTTGTTAAATGTAAACCGGTGAAAGAAAAGAAAGGTCGGTATAAATGTTGAATTGATGTTAAGTCTCTCTAGTCATGTGTTTTTGTTACTCGTGTAGAATGTTTTTTTTAGCATATACCTGGAAAAAAATATAGAAAGAAAGAAGAAACACAAACCAAAGGACAACCAAGATTTATGTGGGTGTGCCTGCATTTCCCTTTGACCTAGGAAAATATCATCCTATTCAAGAATTTAAAACAGCTATGAGCCTTCCACATATAATGAAGAATGAATTGGTTTTAATATAAACGAGAAGTGCTACCTCTCTCAATAGTTTGCAAGAGGCATCCATGAACAATAAGGCAGTTACCATTCTCGCATGGAACCTGAGATTGATTACTTCAAGTCGGAAATTGAATAAAATTACAAATTTCCACTGGAACTTAAATCCAGGAAACAAAGAATTGAAGAGAATACACTTTATGAAAGAAAATCCAGTACTTCTCACAAAAATTTCCTATAAATCAATGTTGATTTGGGTGCTGTGGTTGCTGATAAAAATCACCGCGACCTTCTCCAACACTATAGGTTATATCATCTGAGTAATAAGAATTTCTCAGCTCATTTTTTACATTAACTACATCAGTGCAGCTTGTCACACCTATATGGTTGTTTCCCATGCATTCAGACTTACGCCAGGGAGGCCCTTTTCGTTTCTGCTGTCTGAAGTACTTCTTACCCAGATCATACGAGGATTCCCTCGTTCTTTTAAATGCCTGTTGGATGTTAGTAACAGGAATGTCTGTATCTGGTGGGTTACCACCAGCTGCGCTATGAATATTTTCATCAAGATAACTAGTGGCAGGTTGACGGCTGTCTTGTCGCTCTTCTAAATCTTGTTTAATTCCATTGGAGTTAGCAGCACAAGCAGGTGGAGTGTCTTTCTTATCACGGGGACATGGAGGTAAAGGTGGAAAAGGGTGGAAAGGCATGCCAGGGACAATTACCCAACTCTCTACACTTTCACCCTGTGGTGATCCAAACTGCTGCAAAATGTGCAAGGGAATTCCATATGAGACGGGCAAACGGGAAATGAATCTCTTCTGTGGATGAGCCACAATCATATCAGAATACTTCAACTGAGAAAATTTTGGTTGAGGGAAATCAGTAGCAGTTGATGGAGCAGTAGATGAAACCATAGATGCATTGGAAGGAGATGAGAACCCCGGTGGAACATCGTCCTGAAAACTGTTCCTTCCATTGTCAAAATTAATAGCTTCACCTTTGCAAACAAATTCAGGACATTCTTTATCCCCTCTACTCATCTTGTCTGTGTGATCTGGCATTGATTGAACTAAAACAGGTAATGGGCTATATTCAAGTTTCTTTGGTGACGGTGAATCAATTTTCTCTGTATCTGCCGGCTGATCCCAACGGCTTTTACGCTTGCGAATTTTGGTGCCATTGGTTTGGGAAACACCTGTGGAAGATGAGGAGCAACCCTCACGGGCAGAAGTATCCACTGAAGTTGTGGCAACCGTGGTTTGCATGATACAACTAATTGCCTCAGTGGGTCTTATAGCCTGGTCGCGCCAATGATTGTGCGCTGCTGAAACCTTGTTACAGTCCAAACCCCTGTGAAACTCCATCCTGCCCTCATCCTTGTCCCTGTAGCTAAGTTTTCTGACAGGTTTTGGAATCCATCTATCTCGAAAATTTCGGGCAATTTGATGGACCTGTAAGGCACGTTTAACAATTAGATCTGATATTCACCAAGGAAAAAGCTACTCAAGAAAAAAAAGTAGAGTCCATAAATAACAAAATACAGAAGCTATACTATTATGTTCTAAGCAATAGCTCCCTCTGAAATACACATATCATGGAAAAAAAAGAAAGTATAAAAAAAACATGTTAAAGAAAAATTCAAAAAATAAACAATGAACAACACAATACCTGTTTGTCATCATGCTCTGTGAATGACAGTATAGACTCCCTAAAGCTGCATGAGAAAGCACAGTGTTCAGGAAAAGGGAATAAAAAAGATTGAAAAGCGTATTCAATCAAACAAAACTCAGCTATGTTCTCTAACCTCTCCCTTCCAGCACAGGGAGGACCTCCATTTATATGTTCCAGAGTAAGTATCTCCCTCATTGCTAAATACTCTAAAACCTGCAGAAGAAGCAAGTTGCAAGCTGTAGTCTTGTCATATCTTCCGAGAGTTTTCTTATTTATTTTCAAGTTCTTATAACTGACACTTTATCATCATAATTTGAAGATTCCAGATACAAGCTTAAGAATAACAACTCTGGGCCAGACCTAACTGCACCCCTTTTTATTTTTCAAAGAAAATGAAATATTCAGATAAAATCATGCTTAAATTTGGCTGAAATCATGAAGTTAGTTGATTAATTTCTATTTTGGCTTTAGTAAGATGTATATCCCAGTTACACCTACAACTCGCATGATCAAATGCAGCAATTGTCTCAAATTTTCTTCTTTAGTTATTCAAGATATGACTGTTATATCAAAAAAGAAAGAGATACCTTATTGATCATGAAAGCAAGTAAGAAACAATACACATATAAGAGTTACATGCTTATATATATATATACATACACAAATACTGTATGTTACAGTTCAATGAATCTTATGTGACACTTTCTGCAATGAAAAGTAGACAGAAGAAAAGCATTCATACTGCCCTATATTTTCTAATTTTTCTCCTCCATAAAGGAACATGGGGTGCATCATTTATCTGCCTCAAAGTTCAGCAGCTTAATTTATATCTTTGGCACACAAATGAAGGCAAAAATTATCCACAAAAGACAATATTATTTGAAAGAGGTAGGGGAAACTTAAAAGATCTATCGCACTATCACTGACTTAACCAGGGAGCGGCATGTCATTATTCAATTTAGAATTACAGATAGAGAGCCTTTCGCTATCAAACTATTTTCCCTTTTTCTTTCAAAATGAACTAATTAAGCATTTTGACCATTTCATTAAGCAGTGAAATGCGGCTAATTCAAATACTATCGTTGAATAAAACTATTAAAAGAAAGAAGCACCACGATAATGAATCTTTCCCTTGATTTTTAATTTTTCCCTAAAAAGAAAAAGGGTGTACAATTTTCATCTCTTTTTACTACCATTCAGTTCAAATACTATGATGTACCTTATATTTCCAAGAATCGGTAACTGGCAAGACATGCAAATTCGCAAATATGATTATATAACCACAAAAAATTATAATGCAACACGGTTTCCAGCACTGCACCTTTAGAAGCTTTCGAAGAATCGGAATCTTTTTGAAGTCCCTTCTGTATTTCTTCATTATGTTGTGTAGCATCTGCAAACCTGAAAAGCAAAGCAACATCCATTTATTTGCATGACAATGGAGACGCAACTGGAGCAATGTATTCATCACCGGATGCTGTGCAGAAAAAGTTAGGAAACACTACCATTCTTGTTAATTATATCGGTCAGCACAAGTCGTGATTTTGTTTTTAAAAGTGCATCAAGAATCATTGAAAGCTCTCGATTGCTGCACAACAAGAAAGCTAGAATCAAAGATTGGAAAACTTATATAACATGAGCACAAAATATAATGTTCTTAAGGCCATATAAATGAAGATAAACTAAATTGACCTTTGAATTGCTTCACCATTGCCACTATCACCAGAAGTTGCCGTGAGAAGCAGAAGCTTCAAGTAGCCCTTAGAAGCATCCTGCCACAAATCAAAATGCCTGAGAAACATGATGTGGTATAAAGAAATAAAGAAGCATGCTGCATTACAAGAAAGTCGACATAATTCTCTCATCAAAATAAGTAACATCTCAATATGATTTGTAGAAGATGCCAAAGCACAAAATTATCTACTAAACTTAAAAATGATGAAAACAAGAAATATCTGCTAAATTTAAAATTTTACTATGTTAAATGCATAAAATTAAACCACTAACCTTTCGTTTTGTTATCCCCCCCTCAGAATCCAGCAATTCATTAAGTTTCTCCTCCACTGCAAGCATCCAAATGCATGTATCAGTACAATAAAAAAGTACACAACAGTCCCATTCTAAGTTAAGAGGATTCTTAACCTGTTTCAAAGCGGCAAGTACTGGAATTTTCCAAAAATTTTTTGGGTTTGACAGAAGGCACTTGAGATTTGATAGATGTTATCTGAACCTTATTTCCATTCAGAGAATTACTACTATTTTTCCCCTTCTTAATAGAGCCGGATGAACGACAAGTCTTCATCATGGGGCGAGATTTTCTAGGAACCTGTTTGTCTTCTGCTGTATCAAACTTTGACTTTTTATTAGCATCAACAATATCAGAAGATAATTTGTTGTCTGACACATTTAGAGAAGTATCTAATTTCTGAATGGAAGATGGGGTTTTGTTCATAGCCTTCTGTTCTGTGGTACCATCAGGCTGAACAGCTTCACAGGGAACTGTCATAGGCAAAACCTCTGGCTGAATGGCTACTTGGAAATTTCCCTTAAAATCTTCTGTTTCAACTGAACTGTTCAATTTAGATGTGGCAAAAGCAGAACGATCCACAGAGTCCTCAGCTTCTGGTTTATTCTCCAATTTTATAACACCACCAGTTATTACACTCCCCACAGATTGCATCGCTGCACCATCAAAGGAACTAGATCCAGATATAATTTTGTCAGAACCATTCCAGGTTTCACCATCTTCAAGCATCTCAGGTTCAGGAGATTCTTCATCTGAATCATCATGAACAATTACTTCGGCACTAAGTGGATCTCCACCTATATAACCCCGACAATGAGGTGAACCACAATGACATTTTTTAGCAGCAGCTCCAAATACCCTCACATAGTTGTAGTCAAATGTAACCTCTTCACCCTGACAAATATACCAAGCTTGTAACATATACAAAGATGATTTGTCACGCATGTTACAGAAAGACAAAACAAATACACACACAGATATATGTATGTATGATATCACATTAGAACAATTAATTCAAGGTCACTGCATGTGCCCTATACCCTCCAAAAACTCTGCATAAACATCAGATTCGGCTTGCTCAAGTTTTTTTGGTTTATTAACAAAATATCTTACAGAAAGGATGCTGCTAACTGCAACTAAATTTTCTGACATTTAAGAACCCATGAGATGATGCATGGCTACTCTGCAATGTATGCTGATCAACTTGGTGGTTGTTAGCTTGTTAATTAAGCAGTTCTGTCTTGCTACGAGGATGTGCCTCTGGAATAGGGCCTTTTAGCATTAACCCTTGTATTCTACCCTTCTTCACCCAGGATTGTAGCATGGATTAGTTATTAGTCTCGATAAAAGGCTGACTAGCTATTGTATGGCATATTTGAGAAATCTGTTAACCGGGCTTGCAGGGGACATATGAATTTGGTTGAACACAACTACACTTTTAGGATTTATGTTTAGAAAAAGAAAAAAAATGTCAAAGGTTTAAGACTCGAAAAAGCAACTTGGACTAGCAGAAAAAAGTAGACTTGTGTAAAATTCCTAGAATAATACAAATTTCCCCAAATTACAAAGGTAGCATTACCGTGCAGAAATCATATAAAGTAACAGTTCTGTTTTAAATCAATCATAGTTAGTAACTCATAACACCTCTTGGCTGGCTGGTAAGAAGCCCCTTGAGATTTTTGTTTTGAAACCTCCAAAATCTCATTAATTGTAAAAACAAGATAAAAGACAGAAAATTGCTAAAGTTAAGTTTATTTAACAAAGAGCAACTCAACTTTTTCTTCAATAGCTGCAGTAACATCTTTTTTAATATCACAATGCAGCACCATCTACAATTGAATATATTTTGTTATTACCTAGCATCATTTTATCATGACAGTTTCTTTGGGTTGCATGCATCATCAATAATGAAAATGGTGATGTGAAAGTTGATAACAAGATCAATGGAGGTGACAGATCTTATGTTCCAGTTTGTGTTAACCAGCCCTCATGTGACCAGGTGGAATTTAATTAAAATGTTAGGTCCCTATTCTTGCTCCTGCTTTGGGATCTTAATTTTAGCTTCTGTTAACCCTCACACACTTTCTCTCTCTGCAGTTTACTCTTCAATATCTAAAATAGAGGTTTTCAAACCTACAACAACAACAAAAAAATAAGCCTTATATTCCAAGCTTTGGGGTCGGCTGTATGGAAGGCCAAAAAAGGAATCATGTTAGGTCGTAATTTTGAATCTTCTTACACCACTCGTTTCTATCAAAAACAACATTTTCATCTATTTCCTTAACTGTCATATCATTTTTTATTACTTGCAACCACGTCTTTTGTGGTCTACCTCTAGAAGTTCTGATCTCTCCCAAATCTAGAAGCTCATTTCTACTAACTAGTGCACAGATAGACCGACATTTCACATGTCCAAACCATCTCAAATGGCCCTCTCTCATATTTTCCTCAATTCGAACTATCCCTAATTTTCCTTGAATCTCTTCATTTTTTACTTTATCTTTTCTAGTCTTACCACACATCCATCTAAGCATCTTTATCTCTTAGTTACACTCATTTTCTTCTCATGTAGATTCTTGACGGCCCAATACTTAGTCCCATATAATATTGCAAGCCTTACAATTGTTTTACACAACTTCACCTTTAACTTTAAAGGCATGTTGTGATCACACAACACACCTATCACACTTCACCACCTCACCCATCTTGCTTAAATCCTATGATTTAGATCCCTTTCTATCTCAGTATTGCTCTGAATAATTGATCCCAAATATCAAAAATGACCACTCTTTGGTACTACCCGACCATCCAGCATAATCGCACAAGTACTTGTTTCCCTATTACTACTAAACTTACAATCCATATATTCAGTTTTAGATCTACTCAATTTAAAGCCTCGAGACTCCAACTTATGCCGCCATAATTCTAATTTCACATTAAAAAGATTTCAAACCTAGAATACTTTATTGTTTTTCTACCTTAATTTTCAACCTCCATTCAGCTGTTGCATCTTTTACTTACCCAAAATTCATCAAATAAGGATTATAAAAATGTAAGCTCCCCAAGTGATTTTCAAAATCTCAAATATATCAACTTAAAGGAATTCAGTAGATCAGTAAGCACCAAAATATGATATTTGAGTTATACATATGAGCCAAACCATAAAAAAAAAAAGTAATTATGAGATCCCATATAACAGCAAAGCTTGGCATCAATAACATACTGTGCTAGCATACCTTCTTTATATCCCTCACTGCAAACAGTCCAATACAAATTTCTCCATTCACCATCCACTGCTCATGAAAAAGATACAAAAACAATGGAAAGAAAAGTTAACCTTCTTGAAATAAAATGAACACATTGAAAGAAGCATATTTTGAGAAATAAAAGCCAGTAAAACAAGAGAGCCATGTTCATATTCAGGGCGCATATTCTTATTCAGGGAACATAAACACTGAAAAAGTCAAAATGCGATTCACCAAATGACATATCACACATGGAGATCAAAGCAGTTGGCCAGATCAAACGTAGGGAAAGGTACATAGGTCAGTAAGGGAAAAAGGCAAAACAAAACAGCTAATGTTTTGCAAGCTTATAATCTAAGTCTGATATTAATAGTTAATATATCGATATATTTTAATAATGGAAAAGACTTTGAAGCCCATGGTCACTAACAAAGCATAAAAAGGCAAAGATGGCCATGATACTCCAAGAATTTGGCAAATCACATTCAAAAAGAAAAGTTAGTAACAGCAATCCCCAACTTATCAACCTAGTTTTTAATTAGGGTTCCACATAGCGGAGATATCCTTGAATTACAAAGGAGGTGGAAAGGAGACATTCCACCAAGAGATTCCTTCATTCAGCTATCATCCCAATCACAATAACAAGCACATTATAAGAATCCCATTTAATTTGCTTTTATAAAAAAAAAAAAAGAATTCTCATTTTCTTGTCAACTGATATGATAGCAAAAAGCTCATATGAATAATCACCTTTTCAGTACGACAATTGGGATCACAACTATGGTTAATGAAGCGCCCCAAATTTCCTTTGACATATGCATCTATAACCTGGAAGAAGGGAAAAATATCCTTGAAACTGAAGCATCAAAGTATAAATTGACAGAAAATCAGACAACAGATTAGATTTTAACGATATACAGAAGAAATTGAAAATTAAATGAAAACATTATTCAGGACAAATGGATAATTAAAAGTCTGCAGCAAACATGGGGCTGCAAAGGCAAATAAATTGTGAATTCAAAAACCAAATTTACAGTGGCAAAGGAAACTCTTGGCTTCTCCAGTGTAAGGTTTTATCATGAACAATAAATGCAATCTACTAGGTAAATAAGAATAATTAACAAAATTATGTTTCATGTTATATGCACGTACATGTACTAAGTGCTAAATAATTAAATAACAACCAAACACAGGCAAGAGACAGTTGCAAACTTTCTTCACTTGCTATGGCCTTTTGTACTATCAAATGCTATTTGATATTCATATTATGTTTGTAAAATATAATTAATAAAAAAAATTAGAAAGGTAAAGGATATTATATAAACCTCACTGCCATTCAATGTCATGAAATAGAAATGCCTCTGACCCCTAGAAGCATACTCCTTTTGTCGAGCCTCATAAGATTGCATATCAAGCACCTGATGAACCAAATATTCAAATACCACCTATAAATATACAAATATAAAAAAGTGTCTACAAACATAGAATCAGTATCATTGAATCCCCACTCTACATAAACTCTAAATACCTAGACAATGGGAATTATTTCTTTTCTTTGGTATAAAGGAGGCCACAGCTTGGAGATAGGGAAAGGATTTGCAAGTGCTAGAATTCGAACTCTAGACTTACGAGATGCTACCTTTTAAGGAAACTGTATGAACCAACTAGGCTAAGTCCCGGGTTCGAATTATTTCTTTCTTAATTATGCAAACTATAACAAAACAGTGAATTATGGATCAGACAAAAACTAGCCTTCAACGAATGTAACTTTTGCATGCATGATAGGCAAGAGAAACTTCTAGATAAGTATGACAGGAATTGGTTAACTTGCTTGGCATTTGGATTTAGAAAATGGCTAGCACAAAAAAACCAACAGTCCACATGATAACATATGACTCTTAAAATAATTGAGGGATCATAATACGAACTAGATACACCCAGCTTTTTTCCTTTCTACAAGACATGAATACTTAATTCATGTTAAGAATGTTTACAAGAAAGATTACCGCTTAAGAAAGTGCATACATTATATCAACTAAATAATGAAGCTGAACTCACAAGCCATAACACAGCAGAACCATGCCTTAAACATGCTTATTCTGCCAATCCATTTGACAATACATTTGGTGCTTTTACCTAAACAGTACAGTAAGCTGTGGAAGCCTCAACAACAGTCTTCATTATGGCTATGGTTTACTTAAAGTTAAATGCACCATACTTAAACAAATACAAAAATCAAATGTAAAATAGCCATCACTTGAATTTGACTATAATTCCAACAAGCATGTCACTTACTGATCAACAAGCATAAAATACTATAAAACAAAACTTTGGTTACCTCTCCAACGTATTCAATAAGGAAATGGCCAGCAGATATATTCTCAAGTATCCTCAGCCCAAAACCTTTCTTACCAAATCTGTCCCACTTCATCTTTGCATATTTGCGCTTCTGGAACTGCAAAATGATGCTTGGAATAAAATAACATTCTCTTCAAAAAAAAAAAAGTCCTCGTAGAAACACATACACACGAATATAAAATTCATAAATATTGTCATTATCTTCTACTAAAAACAGTGGAAGAACCTGTTGATTTGAACAAAGGTCCCCGCATGGACAGGTGCCTTGAACACATTCAATGTTCAGCATTCGGTTTAGGCATTCATCTCCACAGCCAAGCTTACCGTCTGGAGGTCGTTTGCAATGGCAAACCATTATCTGCTTAAAATTTAACTGAAATGTTAATTGCAAAAACACACTCCTAAACAACCAGAAGGTTATCGACCTAACAATGAGAAAAATATAATCAGAGGAAAGTTAATTTAAGTTCTTCTTTTTGTCCAATTTAATGAAAGCCTATATACCAATATTTGTGACACATTGAGAGATAACTAAAGCAAGGACGGAGAGGTGTCAGCAAGCTTAACAGATACAAAGTCTGTTTATCCAAGACATGAGATCAAATTCTAGCTTCACCAAGGACTTAGGAGGGGAGATTAAGTAATGTAAAAACACTAACCTTATTTATGTAGCCTAGAGATAAAACTAGAACAGGTGAAGGTGTCAAAGTAGTTAAACAAAGGAAATACTTCCAACCACAACCCCCCTAAAGAAGGAAGAAGAGGAAGCAATAGAGGAGCCCACCAATCCAAATTAATAATTTCCTCGCCAAATAAAAACTACATTAAAATTATCACGAGTTCACTATGTCAGCATAAAATCTTTAGGAAGGAAAAGGTGGAAATAAGCAAAACTCATACAGCCTTTAACAATCAAATTAGATGTATTTTCCTACATTATCTCCCTCTGTGTTGCATTTTCTTTCAATCATGACAAACAGATCTCCAAACTGATGTTGGTTAATAATCTTTAGAAGTACCTACCATTTCTTAAAACCAAAATGTTCCATCTTACAGTCCTACCTATTTTTCATATTGATTTATTAGAGGAAGCCTCTAACCGTTATTAGCATTACAATGAAAAGGAATGATTATACTAACAAGAATGAAAAATCCAACTGCAGACTAAATAGCATATAACTATTTAATGAAGTCAAGTTAGGTTCAGAGTCAGACCTCATCAATGGTTTGAGTTTTACGGCCACGGTGCAAAAATTGGTTACTATCAATACGCCAAAAATGTGACAGTGGTGGCACTGCAATAAATAGGAAAGTGATAATAGAATATCAAAAAGGAAAGAAGCAGGATAAAAAAGAATCATTATACTAAAACAACAACATTTGTATCTACAATTCATTCATGCAGTTTGGCTATCAGCAGCAAAAATTATACCTGTCATTCGTTTACTTTCAAATCCCTTTTCCAGTTCCTTATTATTGAAACCATCACAACCATCTTCCTCAGCATCTGATATGCCCAACTCAGTATTAATATCTGCATTGGACTTCTCTTGAGGGATTGAGCAATCAGCAAATGCTTTATCCCTGTTGTCCCCACAGATCCTTCCAAGTAAATGACAAAACAAATTTAAAGTTAGACATCACATTGCTTTTCTCAGTGCAACCAGACAACAACCAATGCATTAGAAAGATAGGTCAAAAACATGAGGAAAGATAAAGAGATGACATATTGTTTGTATCTAAACTACTGTCATGGTAATGCTTATGAAAAGATAAAAAATGAGAACACACTTGAAATACAAAACATATTATACAACATTGCTCAGCCAGAAGAGGAAACATCTGATCAGATAGTAAGATGCCATGTTTTATGAAGACTATGATCATTAGAAGAACACCCAATTGTGTTTCACCAAGTTGGAGTATGCTTTAGGATTAGGTGAAATGCAACTAACAACAAGCACTATAGCTCAATCAAGTCTTCCATACATACATTTTGAAGGCCAAGGAATCCTAAAAGCATAAAGATCTCCCAAGATAGAAGCTAGACTTAATACAGATAGAATAATCAGTATTATTCTCGTACAACTTCCACCATCAAAACTTTAAGAGGCATGGGCAAATCCTGTGAGAGGGTCAATTACTTTCGTCAAAAATGGCCCTGAACTGCATAGAGGGTAGACCTTTGCAAAGCCATGTCTGGTAATGGTTCTTCCCGCATGTCTTTTTATTTATTTTTTTAAAAAGAATGCATCCACCATAGATATTAAAAGCATCCTGATTTAGCTTGACTAAAGTGTGATCTAGACTTCTGGCATTTGTCTTACACGTAAGCAGTAACATGCAACAGTTAGAAAGTTTTGAGAATGAAACTTAAGGTGGCCAAGTATTAAAAAAATTACTAAATTACACCCTAAAAAAATGTCTATAGATTTCCCAAACATTTTCCATAAATTCACTATACCAAGGAAGCAACACAGCACCCAAAGCCCAATCGAACCTGGCTGGAAGCAACATCCTGGTCCTAATTGCATGGATACCAGCACTAGGTTGACAAAAGCATAAATCGAGTGATTAAAATATGCGAGATCCATAGGTAAATAACACATTTGACCATTGCAGTTCATAAGATTAGGGATGGCAAGTTAACCTGAAACCATCAGGAACACTAAAGTTGGGGTGGGGTCGAAGGCAGTTTTATGTGAAAACAGTCCCAACCCGATATAACTACCAAAATGCCCTTAATATATATTATTTTAAGATTTCCTTACTTTTCTCTTATCTCTTTCTTTCACCACCTGACCATCTCCGACCTTCCTCTCTCAATCTTAGATCTGTAAAATTCGTTTTGTCATTCCCAAACCCATCTCCAACCATCAGTTTCTTACTTGAAGGAAAGCCATCAACGACAGCAGCATTAGTTATATTTCATTTATTTATCTGATTGTTTATGACTCATAAGATTAATTAGTTGTATCAAGAGCTCAAGGCCTCACATGAAGCTTTTGATGGTTTTCTTTCCTCTTTGCAGATCATTAGCATGGAATGTTGAAATAAAAGAAATTGTCAATTGGGTAGCCATGGAATGTTGAAACTTTTTCTTTTCCAACTTCATGAAAGCAGTTATTGAGTTGTAGTTGTCAAATAGGTAGCCATTGACAGCTGGGTTTTTAGATCTATCATGATAAAGCACATGCTGGGTTTAGTTGAATAAAGGACTTTTAGTCAAATTTTATATTTTGGTTTGGCTAGGAACCCATCCAGTTAAAAAATGCTTTTTGTATCCCTTTGTTTTCATATTATCTCTGCAACAAAAGTATAGCTGTGACAAACAACGTAAATATCTATTACTATATCATTACCATAATAGCTTTGCAATGCCTTGACAAAATCTGGTTGAACCTTATCTTTTAGAAAGTCAATCTTTAGTGCAAAAGTAAATGCTTTTTGTTTGAAACTTAGTCTGGGTCTAATCCTTGGCAGTCAGATGCTCGTATGGAGTTGGTGAAGATGAATAGATGATGAAAGAGGTGGGTTGAAGTTGGGGAAATGTCTATTCTATCCGGTTAGAGTTGGATTTTACAATTTAAAACTCTGATCCAAGGCAGGTCGAGGATCGGGTAGAGGTGTTGGGAAGTGGGTCGAAGGCAGGGCAAGCAAAAATCGGCCCCACCCGACCTGTTGTCATCACTACATAAGATCTGTGGATAAATAACTAAACATGTGATCCTTCCTATATCCAATAAGTGATATGTGTTTGACCAAGAGATTTACTGTTCTCAAACATGTAAGAGCCACCAAAACAAACATGTAAAAAACAAGCATTGAATAATAATTTTCACATAAATTGCATTCTAAGATGTTAAAGAGTTGTATGAATGAGAGTATACCAACGGCACGCCTCATCAATTGACTTTACAAGTGCAACTGGTATTCGCCGCCATTTATGACAATCATCACAACGCACCCAAGCATCATCAGGCTGTGTATGCTGCTCCATGACACCAGCAGCTACCAAGTCAACATTAGCCATGTCTACAGATGCAATACTGTTGCCAGTATTTGATCCCTCAGTATCATCCAAAATGTGATTTCCTGCAGCATCAACTATTGTAAAATTAATTAAAATTATCTCCAATTTCTTGTATTCTGAATAAATTTATCACATTGGCAAGGAATAAGAATGACAACTAATATCTGAAAATATTAAAGAGATTATAAATAATAATAATAATAACATGAGATGAACAGAGAAAAAGGGAAGAAACAGTTAAACATATCCTTAGAGTTCCACTACCTGTTAGTGAGTGCTTTCCTCCTTTAGCTACAATCTCTTCATCAGAGCCTTTCTCCTTTACGCTGCTCTTACTAACAGACTTTAACTCATCTCCCTGCAGCTTACAAGCATTTCCTTTCCTGCTCTTCACTGAATCAGAGATTCTGGACTTTCCCTTGCTCACTCCCTGAGATTTTGAACTTTTGTAAAGTTGATTCCGCTTGTGTTTAGAGGAAGACAAATTCTTAGTGTTCTTTGTATCTGGAACATCAGGATTGCAACATGCTTTAGCATCCATATTAATTTCCACTTCCATGGCCTCTTCGGAGACTCCAGGCTCATTCTCTCTTGAAGAATTTGCACCAGTGGATGAAGTAAGAGTGTCGCTAGAGACAAATCCATTAGCTGTTGCTTTTTGCCTGCCTCTGCAATTCTTTGATGATTTAGGTCTCCTTATGCTGGATGCACGAGGGGAACTATGATTATCCTTCTTTCCCTGCTTGCTACCCTTGCTACTCTTAATAACTCCAGTAAAAGCAATAGCTCCAGAAGTATTCAAAACAGTATCATGCGACTCTTCTTGGTGTATTAAACCAACTTGAGCATCAGGAATTGAATTGATTACTTCTGAATCTGGTGAAGTTCCAGGATCCATATACTTGTGTTCTATTGCTTCTCCAGATGCTTCAGCCACAGCATCAGACTGACTTACACAGTAATTATTTGCAGCAACTTCAGCAGACTTTTCAAGATTTTCAGCACTCCCCACAACTTTATTTGCTAGTTTTACATCCATAATAGAAGCATCTGAGCTTGCTTTCACCTTTTCTTGGTCCTCCTTGAACTGAAACAGCATTTCACTACCCAGTTCTACTTTATCTTCAATAACATTGGCTAATTTTGGAAATTGTAAATTTGTTTCCTTCCCATAATTACTAAAAGAAGAATCAAAAGAAACTAACGGATCAATCACTTCTGCAACCACAGTGTTCAGATTACTTGGAGCAACTTCCTTGCCCACTTTAATCTTCAAACGTAGACAACTGGTTGAAGTGTTACTTAGCCCACTTGACTTTCTGCTGTTTTGACCAGCCCGATTTTTGCTTCGTTTCCCACTTCCTCGCCCACCCCCAGCTTTGGACGGTTCTTGATTCTGCACTTCATTACAAACAGGGTCAGGACATGGCTCAAGAAATTGTGTAATATTACTGAGCAATCCCCAGATAGAAGAACGAGCAGGTTTGGATGAACAGCTTCTTTTCCTTCTTGAAGCTTTGAAAAGGAATTCAATACTTTCATGTGGGTGTGGCAGCTTTGTGTTCCTGCAGTTCCTAGCAGCCCTTTTTGCAGGATTTTTTCTGCTCGATTTACTTTTCCGGCTGCCCCTTCGAGAAGAGGAAGATGTGGTAGTATCATGTTTAGTTTCTGAAACACAATCGGCCTTGACAAGATCCTTTCCTTCATTTTCTCTTTGTCCGGAACAGTCAGTTGAACTGCTAGAACTAATTGCAGCACAAGTATCCTTTGTCAAAAGATCCGGTGGATCCAACCTCCCAGACAGGTTTTCAACAACATCAATGGGCCGACATGACAACGAAGCTGATTTATCAAAAAGACAGCCTGCACCTAGCTCAAAAGAATCACCCTTTGAGTTGCAGGCATTTTCTTTGGCATTTATTATTTCACTGGAAGCTTCAACCATTGTACCTGCAGTAACATCATTCCTCCCCTCAAAAACCTCAGCAACACCATCTCCTGATGGACCACTAACATTCTTATTGTCAGATTGTGCATTCTGCCACGTGCGCAATGATTCAGGCCTATGTAAGATTTCCAATGCACCTAGGCAACCCTGTGAAGCCAATAACTCAATGCATATATCATCATTACTTTTAGGTTCCACATGCTTAGTAAAACATTCCAATGAGAGATCACTGCTACTCAAATCATCTTTGTGGTTATGCCAGTCACAACTACTCACTGAATCACCTGTACGTTGTAAGTTGGAAATGGTCTCAGCACAACATGAAGCTGATAGCTGGCTGCACGTATCAGATTCTATTAAGGGTGAAGCACCACTTTTCCCATCCAGAGCAGGACCTTTGACAATGTTACTATCGTTCAGGTCATTTTCTTGGGAACAATCACTCCTGCAACCAGCAATGGCTAATGATTCTGAAGGAAAGTTACTACCCTGAATAGATGGAATTTGGTTGCAAAATTTAGTCACGATCTCAGCTAATATCTCGTGTTTTTCTTCCATAGCTATTTCCACATAGGAACAACATCTACTTGGATCATCCTTATTCCTGTGTTCACCAGTTACATTAATTAACTCAAAGGGCACTTCACATTTCTGTGAAGGCAATATTTGTTTCAGAACGTCTGTCCCTGTCATCCTTACCACATCTTCCATGATCCCTTGCATAATGGAACCACTGACCCTCTCATCATCCTTCCGCTTATCCTGCTTAACACAATTTCGGGGACAACAAGTCATCTTTTTCAGTTCTGATGGCAGTTCACCCTCCTGTGAAGCATCATTTTCTGAGTCATGATGATCAATTATACCCTGATTCTCAGTCAAACAACCACCTTCTTTGTCCATAAATTCTTGTAACATCAAGCCAACCACATTTTCATCATTGTCTTTCATCTGATCTTCACAGTTTATAGAAATCTCCATGCCACTGCTCAAACTAGCAGTACTTTCATCCTGAGACAAGCCTAAAGATCCATCCAGAGCAGCTGCACCACCCTCAACCAAAGATACTTTGTTTTTCAAGCACAACATATCAGTTTCAGAATCATTTTTATCAATGGCACCCTGATTCTTGTCTAAACAAACCACTTGATTACCATCCTTATCAACCATCAATTCCTTTGAATCAGAATGGTCTACATTTTCACACAAATTTTTATTTGAATAACCCATGCTATCACCATCACCCATCAATTTCTCTGACCCAGAACCATCTAGATTTTCACCTTGATTATCATTCAAACAAACGACAGTATCACCACACCTATCACCCATTATTTCCTTTGAACCAGAAGCATCCACATTCTCATCCTGGTTTTCATTAAAGCATATCATGCAATCACCATTGTTGTCACCAATCAATTCCTTTGAGGCAGCACCATCTACATGCTTACTCTGATTTTCATTGGAACAAACTGTAATATCACCACACCTATCACTCATCAGCTCCTCTGCAAAAGAACCATCCATGTTCTCACCCTGACAACCATTTGAGTAAACTGTGTTGTTCCTGCACCTATCACCCATCAATTCCTTTGAACTAGAACCATCCACACTTTGACCCTGATTTTCTTCCAAAAAAACTGCACTATCACCATGCATATCACCCATTAATTCTTTTGAACAAGAAACATCAGCAGCAATTTCACCCTGATTTTCTTCCAAACAAACTGTGCTGTCAAAACATTGATCACCCATCAATTCTTTCAAACCAAAACCAACCACTTGGCCCTCTCGCGAGATGAAATCAATATCCTTAGACCTTTCACAACCGGTATTTTCATCTTCACCCAGTTCACCGGCACAATCCCCATTAGAATCAACTACAATGCAATCCCGCTGCTCAAGCATAACGTTTTGCCTTGACTCTGAGCACGAATGTTGCTCTGCAGCAGCAACTTCATGCAAAGGTTCGCTAACCAAAGTCGTATTCTGGCACGAACCCATGTCAGTTTTTTCCAAATAAATTATCTCAATACAGCAAACTCATTACTCCAAACCTAAATAAGAAGCGAAAAGAAGAAACAATAATTTTGACCCAATAATAAAAATCAAGTATATCCTCTTCACCAATACAATGCACCCTCAGATTCAACGCCGAGGAATCCCTAACTCCCTTTTCTGACCATATCGTTCCCAATAAAGCCTTTACAAAAAAAAAAATACTAATAATAAAATAACACCTCTGTCAAAGCTCTCTGAGAAGAAATTCGAAAAAAACCCTAGAATCCCTTTCTCTGCACAATCCAAAAACCCCTAATCTCAGAATCCAAACACTAATGCGGATATAAAAACATAAGTAAAAAGAAAAAAAAAAAACGGATAATACATTCAAATAATTAACAAGCAAGAAAAATAATAAATTTAAGGAAAGAAAAAAAGGAGAACGTAAAAAAAAAAAAAAATTACCTGTTAGAGAGAAGAGGAACCAGGCTCTTGAAGAAGGAAGAAAAGGGCGCTTTTATATTTTTTATTTTTCATAAAATATTAAAAAACTTTTTTTTTTTTTTAATAAAACTGTTCGCGAGAGGAGAGAAAACGAGAGAATTCGGTGGCGCTGTCAAAGCTCTTTGAGAAGAAGCACGAGAAAAAGCGAAAGAGAACTTAAAATATCAGTTTTGACCTTTCCTCCTCCTTTGCTTGTTATTAGGTGAAAATCTATTCGTCTGAGTTTGATTGGGACAACTTTGGTTCCTTTTCTCTCGCTTTTACACGTGTATTTTTTTTTGGGTGTTTTTCTTGAATTTTGAATTTCTTTTTTTTATTAGCTTATTCATGAATTTTTGGAATAAAATGAGATTTACCTCATTTTTTATCCTAACATTCATTTGTTTCTTTCTTTAAAAAAAAAACATTACTTTGTTTCTCTACGAATTGATAGAATTTGTCACATTTTGTTTAATATATACACTCGTAGTATTTGATTTTTGAGGAGATTTAGATTTTTTTAAGGAAATATAGACTATAATTTAACGTAAATGAAAGAAGATGAAAGACTTCTTTGATAGCAATATGGAGTAATTAACACAAAAGTATATGAATAAATTAATGAATCATCAGTCACTTATTCCTTTCGTTTCTATTCATCTGTTTTGTATTGATTTTTATGAAATTTTAAAAAGAAATTAATTTTAATATATTTAATATTAAAATTAAAATATATATATATAATTTTGGGACATCCTAAAAAAAAGGATGAAAAAAAAAAGGACAAAGGAAGTATAAATTATCAATTTTGCTATAAAATGAAAAAATAAAATCATGTTTAACCTTAGTTTTGATAAGAAAGAAAGAAAAAAATTTGATTTACATACATAAAAGTTTATACTATTATTTTAGAATTCAATCATTAAATTACAACATTTTTTCTATCGAACATAAATTTATTACAAAATGTTTAATTTCACAATACTAAAAGTATTTATGAGTTGAATCAAATGAGATAAATACTTCAAAAAATTAAGTCAAGCTATAATTGGTCCATTTTTTTATTTTATATTTATATACTAAAATATTAAAAATATTTGTATATTATTATTTAAATTATTTTAAATTAAATAAAAAGTTTATCTATGACAAACATTAAAACTGTTGATGAAAAGCTTCGATTTTACGTCTCATGACAAAGATAAAATTACTTAGATTTGTTAAAGATAGTTGTTTGTTAATATAATAATATCTTCAATATCGTTGAATAAATGAGAAATCGAGGCCCAAATAAGTTGGGCCTCGGCCAGTGGCCGAAAAACAAACATTGGAATATGCAAAAAAATTGAAGTTATAAAGCTTCAGCTAGCTAGGTAACTGCGGCCTGCCTCAGCAATCGCAACAATCTTATTACATTCTCTCTTGTAAGTTTGGTTGCATTGGCTACACGCAAAAGGCATCTGTGAGTTATGGCCCCTAGTTCCCTGGTATCCATGATCCATCTGCTTTCTAGCATTTCATAAGTTATATACTGTTGATTATGCAAAGCAAGACATTTATATATTCATAGTTATAAACCATTCTATGAAATGAACAAGCTCTGGGGGTGATGGGTTTCCTTAATTACTGATCTAGCTAGGATCCTAGTTAGGTTTAAGGGTCATTATTTTCTACTATTTTAGAGAAGATTTGTTTCCTTTACATCCGCTCCTCTCATGAGGTGGTGTGTCAACTCAACATGGTGAGGCAAAATGCAAATATTCATATTGCTATATAAAAATCTTTTGCAAAGCATTGTGTTTGATATCAATAACTTCTTAGATTATGGGACTCTAGAGTTTAGAGCTTCAAAATGAAACTGCACCACTCGTTTGCAACATATATGGGAAATGGGACTTAAGACCAATTTTTCCCTTTTAGTGTATATTGTAACTCAAACCTTAATTCAATAGTATCATACACAGTCATTCTTAAAAGATAATATTTAATAAATATGACATTCGAATTCGAATACTTTAATTCATTTTTTTATCCTCAAGTTGAGGCCTCTTTTGTAAATATAATATATATATATATGTATATATAGAGAGAAAGAGATCTAGCCCTATTTCCTGATAAAATAATTTGATAACCAAAGTTTAAACTAGGTCAGCAAGGTGACCTTAGACATTTTCCTTCTCTACCATGTTATAAATTGTTGCTAGAATTTAGTTATACAAGTATGGATCATTAAATAATTTTTTTTCTTTTGTTTTCGTAATTACATGATAATCAAATAGTTTCTCCCACACTATCAATGTTTGTTAAGAAAAAAAAAATTTAGTTTATCTTTCACAAGAAAATTATAGCTGTATATATGATCTATGAGCTTACATATGGTATGTTGGTTAAATTTGTTGGTTAAATTTGTACTTCTGACCAAGAAACCCTAAAGCTGCCATCATGAAATAATTAGATCGTATGAGATTTGTTCATAGAAAATACATTTTAATTAATGCCTTTAAATTGACTCCTATATTCAATTTTTGCAAGGAAAAGGAAGGTGGAGAATAACATTTTTATTACCACCTCTGTTGATAGAGGTTGCGTTTCAGATAGGTTTAGTTTTCTTTTTTAACAAAAGAAAGGCATAAAATATATATCAATGAGAGAGAAGGGGCTAAAGCAATACATCAATTCATCCCATTCGTAGATCTATTCAGATAATTCATAGTTCATTTATATATATATATATACCAAAAAAAGTCATTTTCCTAGTCACAACAAATACAAAAAAAAAAAAAAAATGAAGGAGAAATCAAAGGAAACAAGGAAAAAGAATGAAACCTACCTCATGTTTATCATCCCACAACTTAATTTTCGAAAGTCTTTTGATATTTATCCAAAATATCACTTGACCTTCACCATAAAAGGAATTTTTTTATTTTCAAATGAAAAGGAATAAGCAGACAGAAGACCCATCAAGAAAAAATATACTATATATAACAAAATAAATTTCTTGTAGTTAATTAGAAGTACAACCAAGAAAGTAAAAAAGGGTTTGAGAAAAATAAGGGAAAGAAAAGCTTCATACTGAGAAGAAGGGTTGCAATACTCGTGCATTTTCCTAGAACTAGCAAAGATAAAAAGAGAAACATGAGCATCACACAATACATTAATCTCGTTAGCTTTCTTCGTAATCCCATTCTTTGTCTTTGAATAAGTAAGTTGCCTGTTGCTTGAGTTCTCAATCCTCTTGATCTCAAATTTTCCTCTCCCCATCTCTTCTCTGATCTTTGCTCTTTTACTTTTTTTTTTAATCTTTTTTGTTTTGCTTTTGCTTGTAAAAGGATAAAGAATAACAGAGCAGAAAATGAGGTTTACAAATAGAGATAAGAGAGGAAAAGTAATAGGTAAACATTCTATTTTGGGTTTGGGGTCGGAATGTTCATAATTCGATTTTAATCAAATTAAATGATCAAACCGATTTAATTTTATTAATTAGTTAGTCATCGAATTAATTTTAGTTAGTTATCGAAAATAATTTTAGAGAAACTTTGGTTTTCTATTTATTCAATTCAAATACCAAATTAATCGAAATTTTAACCAAAATATTATAAAACCTATATATAAAATTTAAAATATATGAAATTGTCCATTTCATTTCAAGTTATTATAATTTTTAACGTAATATTTTGATGTTTGAATAATTTTGTTGGATAATTTTATTTAATTTGTTTCACATATGAAAAAATAAGAATTAAAATATAATTTAACTTAATATATTTTATTATTCAATATATCAAAAAATTAACCAAATCGACTAAATTAATTTCATATGGTTAAATTTTAAAATTAAAAAATTCAATTCAATAAATGAAAATAAAATAATATAATTTAGTTAATTCTATTTTGAGTAATTTGATTCAAAATTAATCGACTTGATCAAATGAACAGCAAAAATAAAAAAAAAAACTTTCAAAGTGTTATGTACGGACATCTTGTTTTTTAAACCATTGGTCTCTACAATCCTGTCTCCATTAGTCTCTACCAATACTCTTTGTGTGATAGTATTTAGCATGGTAGTATTAATTCAAGGAGAGCTCGTAGCTTTAGGGCTAGGGTTTTAGATATGGAAATTTGAACAAAAGCAATATTGGGAAACTTATGAGATTGAGGTGGGAACAACAAACATTTTTTAGGGAGGCTTTGCCTTTGATGTGTTTGATACGTAAAATGAACGAAAAAATAAAATGAATTTGGTATGCATTTCGTAATCGATAAACGTCATGATAATAATCTGTTGACATAAAAATAATAGTTTTGTCTATGTTGTAATTGATGGACAACTTATATCAAGATTTTTAAGTGAAATTTGTAAAGTTTTTTTAAAATAATTTAATAAAATTTTAACAAAAAATTCAAATCAATAGATTGATAGAATTCAATATGAAAATAAAAAATATGTAAAAAAAATTATTAAAAATATTGATTGATATTTATTTAACGGTAAAAATTTTATCAATATTTTTACTAAAAATATCTACTTAAAAAATATATCAAAATTTATTAAATTTTTTTTTTTTAAATTTGCACTCTTGATCTATATAATGAAATCTTTTAATTTATTAGTTTTAATCTTTGACATTGGTTTTTATTTAATCATTTCTAATAGACAACTTCACGTACTTCATTTAAAAACTTCATTGAAGTCTTTTCTTACGGTAGATATATTGTATCTATGTTTGTTTTTTGTTAAACACATGAAAATATAAAAATTGTTATATTATAATTCGTGTCAACACGTCAAATATAAAATAAATTTTTTTATCTTTTATCAAACACAAATACGATTTTTAATAAAATTTTAAATCATATAACTCTCATTTTTTTTTGTTCATATCGCTTTTCTATCGAATTTAAAACATTCAATTTTATTTTGTAATGATAGAACCAAGAGGATACTTTATAATAAATTTGTCACATGTTAAGCATTGAATCAAAATCGAAGAAAGTTTTTTTTAACTGAATATGTAAATAAATAATGAAAAAGGTTAAAAAATAACAAAAATATAAGGATGTACATATGATTTTTCCAAGAGTAAAAAATTATGGAGGTCTTAATTTCATAAACAGGAGGGCCAGCTAGGACTTGGGTTGGGGTAGTGGGAGGCTTTGTTCTTTGCTGGCTATTTGCTTCGTTGCTTTGAATAATTTTGTAGTAGTTAATTACATTGTATAAGTTGATTTTTTTTTTAAAGATAATTGATGTCAAAAAGTCTAGAAACAAAAATCATTAAAAAAAAATAGATATGGAAGTTAGAAAGTTAGAATGCTAAGTATTTCCAAAATTAGAAAAATGAAATAAAATTTTATGATATCCTAAAAAAGAAAGATAATGAAAGAAATTAATGAAAATAGGGAGAAAAGCCTTTTATTTTTCAAATTGACTAGCACAAGTTTATGTCTAATTGGTATACCTAGATTTTGAATTTAGAAATTTATTGCTCAATCTCAGATATTGTAGTAAGTATATAGTATTAATTTCACGTGATATTTAAATTATAGTAATTACAACAATTAGCAAACAATAACATATTAAACTTTATGCTCTATATTTTGGAATCGACTTAATGAAAGACCAAATAAAAAAATCATATTAGATTGTAATTTAAATTTTTTTATGTCACTTATTTCTATTAACAATAATTTTTTTTTATCTAATTTCTTAATCATCATATCGTTCTTTATATAATATTAATTTCACGTTAATATTAAATTGAGATGAAGGTAAAAAATAAATGGCAAAATGACTTAAACCATGTTTCTTTAGTATACAAATTGATCTATAGGCAAATCATAAAGTTAACCTACTATTCTCCATTAAGTGTATCCCTCCTTTATTTTTAATATATTTTAATCATTATTTATATAAGGTAAATTTCTTTATTTATATAAGGTAAACATATAAACATTGATAATTTTTTTTTATTAAACAGTAAGAAAAAAAATAATGAAGGAATATCCCATCCCTTTTTGTTGCCAATGGTATCCCATAAATTAATTGATCATATATCAATTAATGTCTAAATAGTTAACATAAAAATGTCTAATATGACATCCAATATACATTATAATATTGGGATGTTATACCGTAATAACACAAAGTTTATAATATACCGTATACACTACTTTGAATATAAATAATTATACTATATTATTTAATATTTAAATCATTATTATTCAGTTATATTTTTATTTAATAATTTTTTATAAAAATAAAAATGAAATAATTTTGCATTGTAAATTATATATATTTATTTTAATTAATTAATTAATTGTAATCAAACTTTATTTTTTGTATTCAGTTAATATATGTGTACAAATTCATATTCTCTTTGTATTTTTTTGCATATGTTTTGGAATAAAATAAATTGTAATTTATCTTCTCATTTGCTTTAAATAATTAAGATTCAAACAAAATAAAAATAAATTAATGATAAAGTGACAATGTATTATTTACATTCAAAATTTCAACTATTTTCACAGTTTTTTCCTTCTCTGCTAGAAATAAATCTATTACAAGTTAATAGTTTCAAACCAATTGCCAATAAAGCTTAGGCGCTCAAGGACAAAGGCTTGCTGATAAGGATTAAGGAACCTTTAGATTTCACGAGTCAAGTCCCACTGCAAGTAAATTTAGTCCAATTTTATATTAGTTTATTTAATTTGTTTGTTTATAAATTTAGTCAAATTGGAGTTTCTTCACGAATTTGTCCTTCAAACTTTGGGTCTAGTCCTTAACACTCGCAGACAAAAGTTTTGCGAAGATTTTGCAATTTAAATCCTTTTTTAGAAAAATTAAAGCTAGGGAATTTGTTAAAGTTTAAGAAACTAAGAAAATTTATCTTGAAAAACTCTAAAATAGTGTTTGCTTGTGACATACATGATTTTGAAATTAAAAATTTTTTTTTAAAAATTAAAACCACGTTACAATTCTATCAGTATATTATATTTTTATTACTATACAATTAATCCATTTATTTTGAGTGTAGATGAGCTTTGAGTGTAATTAAAAGGATGGTTTTGAAAGCATGGTTATATTATACTTTGTATCTCACTGTAAATCATCACCAACATATCTTACAGATTAATAGAAATTACGCAAATCTTATGTTTATTTTTATTTATTTATTTTTTTAATTTTTAACTACTACAATTTCTAACATAAAATATGTTAAAGAAAACTCTATTTGACTCTGATATTCTTTGAATTAATTTCAATGTCCCATAATATTGCACCAATTCCCTAATTAGGATTAGCCCAACATAGCAGTGTCCCAAAGCAACAACCATGGCAATGTCCCAAAGCAGCAGGAAGGGACGATGCTCCATGAGAAGAAAAACCAGAGACAACTAATTAACATCAAAACAAGTTCTTTAAAAAGAAATGTCACAAGTAAAAAACAACAGCCAAACACAAAACTATTTAATCTCTAGAACCAGTACAGATACAAACCAATCTGCAAAATATAGCAAAAGAACTCATTTGAAAAAAATAAAGTGTACAATCATCTAATAAGCTCTCGAGCAATTTGTTTATCTGTCAACAGATATGGCAGGATATCAGCATTATAATCACTTCTGCTGCTGAAACAAATTGCAACTGCAGAACATCCAAGTAAACATAATATCGACTAAACCATAGTTTTCTACCAAGTTATGGCTGTGCCAGTTACATAATACTATTATACAAGTGAACTCACAAAAAGATTTAAAATAGATGTAATTTGAGAAAGCATCAATACTAAAACAAGTGAAATTTGACAAAAAAAAAAAACAAATACAAATACAAAAACAAAATTAAGTGAAATAAACTCAACTTATTTACCAAACTCTCAAACTAGTATCAAGCCACAACAATCATGCCAAATACTCACTCACCATCTATACTAATATGCAATAAGGAAAATCATTGCCAAAGCATCACTGAAGAGATATAGTACTAGAAATAATTCTGATAAAAACATAAAGCCTCCCAGAAGACATCCATTATAACTATAGTAATCAAACAAAAGAAATTGAGCTAGACAAATCAAACTCAAGCAATACTTGTTTAAAAAGCGCTAAAATTGTGTTATTATTCACATGTACATTACTGGATTAAGACAGGTATATTGTAACTAAGAAGGTAACACACCAAAATATAATGGGGCACAGCCAAACTAGAGTTTCAGAGGCCTACCTTTTTAAGGCAGAAATGTTATTAAACGAATTTTGAGCTGGAAGATTTTTCAAGTGAGAAGACCAATTGATAGAAGTAATTAACCGCTAATTATATAACAAGAGAAGTAATTGTGAGTTCTCTTAGCTACAACATACAACAAATTTGAATGGGGCAAGTGCCCAGATAATGCCAAGAACATTCATAATTTTGAGCTTTAGCCAGGAGCAATGGTGAAGGAAGTGATTTTTGCCCTCAATTGTCAATTTTTGTTTTGCAAGTTGAAACTTCAATTTCCTACATGCTGACACATCCAGACAATGTGGACTGGTTGCATGATTATCCTCATGAAGCAGCCTCTAAATTATGTCATTGGATTAGAACCAATTTGAAATGCTGAAGTCTCGTAGCTTTCTGAGATGTCTTTCCATGTCTTCTCTGGTCTTGACCCACTCTTCCTTTTCTATTACAGTTGTTGGGTCATCTCTTTCACTCTGGAAGCATATAGAAAATTAAATTAGGTAACACAAAACAGGCAAGGCAACTCAAGAAAGTGAGACGGGGCATGGGTAGTCACTGCATGAATTATTTTGAAGGAGTTTCCATTAGCACGTACAACAAGTAGGTCGCTCTTTCTATCCTGGTTTCTTCCTCCTGGAACTATGACCTACATAAAGAATCAATAATTAAGACATGGTAAATCAATAATTAAGCACTATTTACCAATTTAAATATTACATTTAGCTAGAAGAAATTTAGAAACAATATATTGTCAAATCAAGTTGCTGCTACTTGCTGCTCTTCTTCTTCTTCTTTTTCTTTTTTTTTTGCTTGAAGCAGCAGTCATTGTTAGATAGGTTCTAATGTTCAAGTTGTAATTGAAAAAGGTTCTGCAGCAGGCTCAAGCAAAGAACAAAACTGCATCTCACCCTTACTATCTAAAGCATCATAAAAAATGAGGAATATTTCCTATTTGAATCCACAAAGCCAAAAAGAACTTATCTAAACAAGAAAGTTACTAAAAAGGGAATGGAAGGCATGAGCCATATTGTAGCCTTGTGTGCAATAGAAGAGTATTTAAAGAGATTTAATTACAAAATTTCGTACCAAAACTTTTGCTCTGGTAATTGACTTGGTCTTTGAGTCAATCACATATATCTCCTCAAAGTCTAGAACAAACTTTGGGTTGCCCAACCTTCGGTTCCTGTAATGTTTTGCCAAAAAAACCTGCAATAAAAAAGAAGCCAGCTCATAATATTGCTCAAAGAAAATCAATGATCTTTACCCCCTCCGATTGAGATAACAGCCATATTTCAATGAAATGGCCAATGAGAGGAAGAGTTTTAATTATTCAGAATTCCTAAATTCTGTAATTTGTCCATCTCATTCATATCCTTGTTTTGCTATCATACCAAGGCTAAATTAAGACTTCATTGGCATTTGTAATTTGCATACCAGCATCAGCTTGCACCCATTTTTCTTTCTTCTTCTATTGCTTTATTCTTATTTCACAGTTCTTCTGGCATGTCTGTTTTATACAAAGTTTTTCTTTCTTTTTCTCAATTAATCCTAAATCATAATTATAGCATAGCTTTAAAGAGCATACTAACTTATTTATTCAACAAGGTTCAAACAACAAGGTAGGCCGCAATTGACAAACACAAAAAGTAGGGCAATAGTTGGGATTTTAGCTCTCTCTAGGTCAAATCTCTAAAGTTGTTTAATCTTATGCACAAAAGGAATTCTCAATCTTAATTGATAAGCATTTAGAAAGTTTTTATCATGCATGGAAATGGCATTGGAAGATACGTTACACAAGTGAGATTGCATATAGCAGCACATGCTAATCCCACATAATGATTGAGCATTTGTAGCGCTAAATTAACCAAAGATGAGGTTGGAGCTGCTTACAGAGAACAGGAAAGACGGATATAACTAAATTTCCTAAAGGGAAGCAACAACCTGACAATTGCATGGAAAAGAGTCTACCGATGACTGCCAGCCCTTCAACAGGGCGATCCTCTAACCTACTAATCAAGAACAGAGCTAATGTCTGCAAAGGTAGGCATCAGACTTGTAGGAAACTTAAAAGAGGAAAAATTACACGTCAATTCATACTTCTAGGAATACATGCAAGGACATCTTATGTGGTACCCAATCCCATCCTTTAGCAATTTTACTTTTAATTCTTTTTTTAAGAAAAAAAAGTGTCACCCTTCAGCAATATTACAATCTCAGGCGTTTATAAAGCATAAAATCTAAAAGGCAGGATTATTTTATTTTAATATCACTAAATCTGAAGCAAAAGCAAATTATGGAGTTCTCTCATAGGTTTACTGAGGAAGAAGAGGCATATACGTAGGATATATCAAACTAAATGAAATTAACAACATCAAATACTCTTGAATCATAATAAAAAAGAGTTAAAGAATAGAAACCCATAACGTAATTCAGACTACAAACCAGATCAGAAAGATACACTTGTATGAAACACATGTTCATCTTGGAATGGTCAAGTTTGCTGGAGGAAGGAGTGGATTCAGGGAGAGGGAGAGTGAAAACTAGAAGAGTATTTGGATTCACATGTTAACAATGGCAAAACATGTGGCAATAGATAAGTCATACCTTCTTGACCACTCTCTCAGATTATCAAGTGGATCTCGAGGTACATCAATGGGTGGTTCTGCAACATTGTAGCAGCCATAATCATTCTTTCCACAGCGAATGTACTGTAATTTTGAGATAAACAGAGTTGACCCGATTAATGAAAACAAATCAAAAGATCAACTTAAAGAATGTCAATTTGACTAGCTGTTACCATGAACAAATAAAATGAGACAGAAAGAGTATTATACATGATTCAAATCTATAACACATTACAGCCACATTATTCTTTCTCATCGGAGCATTATAGCTGCATTGACTTTAGATAAGGAACCAGAAATGTCGTCTTAGAAAAACTAGTAATAAAACCCAAAAATAAAAAATCAACAATTACACTACCTTTTGAGGCATTGGAGCCAGAACCTCGGGAATGGAATACACATCCATATCCGGTGGAGTAACATACATCTAAGGAAAACCATATAAAAAATAAGAACAAAATCACATAACAAGTCCAAAAACCCAGCAAAAGTAACACAAAAGACCAGAAACAACAATTCAAGTGCAGACAAAAAAAAGCAGAAATTCCCTTAAACCACAAAAAAAAAGAAAAAGCCACTAACCTCCCTGAAATCATAAACATCATTATCCGGGTCAGGCGGCTTCCGAATAAAGAAATCACAATCCAACAAGCTAATCTTATGAAACTCCTCCTCATTTATCCTATAATCCACCACCATCTCCCAGTCCCACCCTTGAGTCGGCACGAAGCTCTTGCTTTCAATAACTGCTATGTCCACGTCAACAGTAGTAGAAGAAGCGGTAGCAGCAGAGGCGGCGTCTAAAGGGCCGTATTCAACGTCGAAGTTTTCTTGTTGTCGACTTCTTCGACTTATTTATTCGTCCATGTCGTAGTCATCGGGTCCTCCGGCATCAGCGTCGCTGTCTTCGACCCGGACGAGGAAGGGTGGGTTTAAGGATTGGGATTAAGGGGAAGTGGAGGGGTTTGGGTTTGAGAAAAGGGAAGGGAAGGAGGGAGTGGGTGAGGAAGAGGGAGGAAGACTATTTAGGGGAGAATAATGGAGAGGAGAGAAAGAGCGTGGCCGTGTTGAAGGAGGTGGTGGTCATGGAGGGGGATAGGATTGAAACTTTGGATTAGATTTTTGAAACAAGAAGTATCCTAAAAAAATCTATTTTTCCTCCCTTTACACGTTGAATAAATTGTTTGCCTGTGAGAAATGTCTCTCAATAATGTCCGATAATAGCATAAATAAAGGCAATATCAATGTTTTCAACCAGGCCGACAGCTCTAGCCCACGCTCCTGGACCATGTGAATTAGAGCCCCGGTCCCAAAAAATCGAACCACAGGCTTTAACCGATCTGGATGGACTCTCGTGATCTTTTCGAATGCAACCCAAGACAGACCGACCCTTTTCGGCTTTTCCCTTCTCCCGTTTCGCGTCTGAATTTGATCGGGAAAAGAAAACCGCAAGAAGATTAAACCCTAAAAAGACCATTAAATTTTTTTAATAATCCACACATAAGCCCCCCCCCCCCCCCCCCCAAAAAAAAAAGAGAAAAACGGAAAAAAACCCCTGCTAAAAGGAAATCGTTTTTCTTTATCCCGCGCAATTCTCTTCTCACTCTATTTCCCAATCAAATTCCCCAATATTCTAGGTCTCAAATTAGAGCCTTCTTTTACTGGTTCTTGAATATTCTTCTGTTTTAATTAACCCTAGGAGTAACAATTGGGTGACCCGACCCGGAATTCTTGATGGAAGATAAGAGTGGTGGTGGTGGAGGAGCCGTAAGTGGTGGTGGTGGTCAGCCCTCGGGAGTGGTTGCTCCGAAGGTGATTAAGGCTGGTGACCGGCAGGTTTTCACGGTTGAGCTCCGACCAGGAGAGACCACGTATGTTTCTTGGAGGAAGTTTGTCAAAGACGCCAACCGGGCCAATGGATCTTCCGCCGCTGCCGCGGCTGTGGTGGCGGTGCCTGCACCTGAACCACCTCCTATTGCCCACCCTAATCTCCAGTCTTGCATCGCCCCTGTAAGGGCCGCTTCTTCAATCCTTATTTATACGTAGTTGCATTGTTTAACTTTTAAATTTAGTTATTTATTTTATGCATGTTTTTTATATGCATGCTTACATGAAGTTTGACTTCGTAGTTTTGTGGCGCTTGATTTAAGAAATTGTGCTTTGAATTTTTGGGTATATTTGAATGTGTTAGTATTGTTTGGCTGCCAAGAAAATGAGGGAAAGTGAAAGAAGATCTGGTACTTGCTTTTTCCTTTTCGGCCATCCTTAAGCATGCTTGACATTATCCAGGGACAAGCAGCTGAAAAAGAAGCGAAACATGAACCACCTCCAAATCGTTTCAGTGCTGTAATTGAGAAGATTGAACGTCTTTACATGGTATTTGTATGTTTTATTGTGTTTGCGATCATTTTGAGCTGCACTTTGAATTGTTTATGTTAATGTGAAGTGTAATTCTTTCTCAGGGTAAAGATAGCAGTGATGAGGAGGAACTGAATGAAACTCCAGATGATGATCAGTATGATACAGAAGACTCTTTTATTGATGATGCCGAGCTGGTTAGTAGTAAATCTATTATTTCTATTTTTAGCCAGTCTATATTGGTTTTATGCTGATGGTAGTTGGTGCTATTCTTCATGTAACAAGGATCACGTAATGTATTTTTATTGCTTTATAATGTTGCTTTGTTGCTTGTTCTGCAGGATGAGTATTTTGAAGTTGATGATTCAGCCATAAAACATGATGGATTCTTTGTTAATAGGGGAAAGTTGGAAAGAATGTGAGTTTCTTTGAACCGTTTCCATCCTGCTTCTTCTCCGTTGGTTGGTGACAAAGCTGTAGTAATGATCCTGTTTAGATTGCTATTCATATGTATTCTATGACATACCAGAAGCAACCATACATCTCATATCAGTTAAAGCTAGGTTGATTTATGTATTATTTTCCCTTAAATTGGTACACATTTGTCTTGTGGACCAAAATATAATTGGATGCGCAGCTAGGCTTGCAACTTTAATTCCTGATATCATGAACATTGCTACTGTAGTGGTTGTCAATGACGCATTGCTCGTCTTGTCTAAAGTAACCTTATATCGTATTTATTTTATCATTCTTTTCTCAATGCAATGTGGATAAAGCTAGGTTACTTGATTTATCTTTAATTTACCTAATCAAGTTATATGCTTTTTCATGTTGAAAGTTCATTATTAGTTGATTTCTTCCAATTTCCCTTTACTAATATCTTTTCCTTCTTTTTCAAGAAATGAATCTTCTGTGATACCTAACCAGCAGCCCAAGAAAAGGCGAAGAAAAGATGCTGCAAAACCTCCTGGTGAGGATGACGATGGTAGTGTGCCAAATCATGTAAAAGCAGCAAAGATGACTGCAGGGGCGGCTGAACCATCTCTTGGGAAGAATAATTCTAGTTCTTCTCTGAATTTGACTGCATTAAACGAACAATATGGGGATGTAAAGTCTCAGAATCAATTATCAGTTTCTGGTGATTCTTCCAAGAAGAAATCTTCTGAGATAAGACAAGCATTGGATTCTTCTTCATATTTAAAAGTTCCGAATGGTGATTCTTCTGTACATTTGGCAGATGTGAAGGATATTGAAAAGTCGAAGACGGGATTTCTGCAGCCAAAAAATGTTGTCAATAACAAACTGAAAGATGCAATTGGATCCTTTGATGTTTTGCATCAGAAATACCATGATAAAAATGCTTATGCACAATCCAAATCCCAACATGGAAAACCAATCAGCAATTTTCATGAGCTAGAACAATCGGTTCGGCCTAAAGAAAAGAATGGTATCCATGAACTGCCAGACATTAATGTTTCTGATGGCAAACATGCTATGCATTCAGCAGTAAGTTATTGTATTTAATCTTCAACTTTTTTTTTTGATAATTTGTTCCATTTCTCAGTTTCCATTGGCTGGTTAATAACTTGTTAGTCATAATTAGTAGCTGCATAACCTAGTTTGAGTTTTGACATGAAGACAGGGTTCTTTTAATGACAGCCTACAATATCTGAAAACACTAGGAGTTCCATGGTTGTGTGTGTGTTACAGTAATAAAAGCTCGAACATAGATTCACATGACATCTGCTTTGACTGCAAGAATAGTGCTTCGCAATTAGAGATGGAGACAGAGATAGAGATAGAGACAATTGAAACAGTTGTTATATTCCCTCAAATTTCATTTGAACAGTATGTGGACTACTGAAAACACCCTGGAAAGCTCAAGGGACCCATAGACCTCTCTTTTTTAGTGTGTGTGCATGTGCATGTAGTGCAAGGTATTAGAGAGGTTCCTGCTTTGTCCCAAATTATCGCTTATCAGAGAGATGTGAGCAACTACTTTTGCATTAGATATTAATGCTATCATATTGATTTTGATTTTGTGTAATATATCATGCAGAAATCTTCACACATGCCGAAAAAGGATGGCTCCACTCTTAGGCCCAAAACTTCCATGCTTGAAAAGGCTATTAGGGAGCTAGAGAAGATGGTTGCGGAATGTAAGTGTAAATATGTATCTTGTACAATGCAATTATGGATAGTTCCTTTTAAATATATATTCTTTTTCCTCCCTGTCTAAAATATCACAGCAAGGCCACCTGCTATTGAAAGTCAAGATGTTGATACTTCATCCCAGGGGATTAAGAGGAGATTGCCTAGAGAAATAAAGCTCAAGCTCGCTAAAGTTGCTAGATTAGCGGTATGGGACTTTTATTAACACTTTATGTCCTGTAAAATAACTCATTTTCCAACTGTCATTTGTTTCAATTGCGTGATGCCTTAAGATAAAGATTAAGTTTTTTATTTTTACTTTTATGTTTGTAGCAGGCAAGCCACGGGAAAGTTTCTAAGGAGTTACTAAATCGTCTTATGAGCATCCTTGGTCATTTAATGCAGCTAAGAACACTTAAGGTATCTTTCCTTGTCTATGGATGAGTATGACCCCCACCAATTTTCAATTGCAATTCCAATATTTTGCCTTTACTAGATCAAATTTAAAAGGGTTTGGAATGTTGTCATGTTATGATTGCATGCCAACATACCAATAACTCACAAATCTAGAAATACTTTCTGTTAAATCTACCTTTTCTATTGACATGGCTTTTGCTTTTAATTCGCATGATGTAGTTTCTTTTTGTTCAATGAAGAAAAGTTGGTACGCTATATGTTGGACTAGCGATCATTATAACTGCAATTATTGTGGCTTTGTAATGTAACCTAGTGCATGTATTTTGGGTGTTGAATCATGCAATCAAATTTGTGAGATCTTGAAGCATGTTTTGCTTGTAGTTATAATCCAAGTTCATTTGGAAGCCTATTGTAGAACCATACCACATGAGGACTGTTTGGTGGATGTCAAATATGTGACAAGTTTTCTTACTTTTAGAAGAGATTCCTCTGGTTTGTCATCTTTATCCTTTGAAATGCAGAACTGTTTAAAGAATTAATGGAACAGGGCAAAAGTATGTAAAACTTTTGTGCATTACTCTTCTCTTTTTTTTTTTTTCCTCTATGATAGACTAAATCCTCTTGTTTGCTCTCGATGATCCTTTCTATTAAACTCGTTCTACCAATTTGGATCATCTTTGTAATACAAATCTATGAATATTGATGCAGAGGAACCTCAAAGTCATGATTAGTACGGGTGTGTCAGCAAAGCAAGAAAAAGACGCTAAATTTCAACAGATAAAGAAGGAAGTCATTGAGATGATAAAGACAAGAATTCCTTCTTTTGAGATAAAGGTTTGTTTTACTCTCTCTCTCTCTCTCTCTCTCTCTCGCCCTCTCACTTTTCTAATTTCTATTTTATTTAATTTCTGTTTCCTCTCTTAGTTTCTCCTGATTCAACAGTCTTTTATCTTTTTTTTTACTCTCTATAATGAAATGCAGTCTTCATTCTGCTTTGCTTATGAGCAAGGGCAAAATTTCTTTCCTACACATAGGGCCTGCACTTCTGTTAAAATATGCCTTTTCTCACCTTCTCGCCCTATGCTATTGTACTTCATTTTATCTCCCTTCTTTCTATCATGTGGATTGTTTAGTTTAAATACTCCATTGTAGATTCCATGACTATTTTTCTCCTTGTTTTCTCTTTTCTTCCCTTCATCTTGGTATATAAGATCATGGTCTTTCATCTTGTTCATGGTTAGTACTCTATATTATCAATTAAATTTAGAAAATTTTGCTGCTCTTAATGAAAAATGCATAATTGTGTTTCAGATATTGGAGCCACACGCCAGAGCTTCTGGTGATTTTCAAGAAATTGATTCCGAAGAAAGAGTTTTTAGAAGGAAATTTAGCATGGACGCATCATTGGAGAACAAGATTTGTGATCTTTATGACCTCTATGTTGATGTAATCATATGTCCTAGCATGACTTTTGAGAAAACTTCATCTCTTTCGGGGAAATCTTCTTCTTAATGAATCTTATCTTTGCTTTTTTATTGTTTAATGGTTGTAGGGATTGGATGAAGATGCAGGTCCACAAATCAGAAAGCTTTATGTAGAGGTTGGGCACTTACCATTTCTTTCTCTACCCCCACAGTTACTGTAGTGATAATGAAAATCTCTATATTGCTGGCATAGGTGTTCATGAAGGTGGCCAAATATGTCTCTGCAGTTATTGTTTAGTGATAGGTTTTGATAGTATCACTCTCTTGCCATTTGGATGAGAGGAGTGCATGAGACTGCTATGTCTCTTTCTCTTCTACCCACCTTCTCTCTTCTGTCTACCCTTATTTCTCTTCTAATTTTGTATCCTATCCTTGTACAGTTGCATTCTCTTCCCCTTCAACTGCATCATCCCTTTTTATAACTAAAAACATGCCTTAAAATGCTTTGCTGAACAGAATTCCATAAATTTGTCCTATATTATCATTATTATTTTTTTTCAAATAATTTGAATCAATTCTATGGTGTTCTTCTTGAGCTCATTTCTTGCTGCTACCTTGAACAGATCTCTTATTCTTTGTTTTGGTCATGTTCCTTTTGCGTTAATTTATTGGTGATGAATCTCTTGATTATTGTTCTTAATGCTCAATTATGGTTTTATTTTTTCTGTTAAATAATTATCTTATATTTGGAGTCCATCTGTGAACAGCTTGCCCAGCTGTGGCCAAATGGTATGATGGACAACCATGAGATTAAACATGCAATATGTAGGGCAAAGGAAAGACGGAGAGCAAGGTACAATAGACGTAAGGTTAGTAATATTGCTTCCCTGCTTTTTGCCCTCGTGTTGGTGTATATACTTTATTTATTGGTGTGTGTATGTTTTCAAATTAATTGGTTGGTCTTCTGCAGACTGGATTAATCGATCTTCACAATTTTTATATAATTATGAGATTTGAAGCTTCCTTAGGCTTGGCAATCAAAAACCTTTCTTATCCAAACATTTACTGGCACAGCAACCTAGCCCATGTTTTTGATTATTCTTAGGGTTTCAGATGAACCAGTATTGAGTGGATGCTGGGTGTTTTACTTGGCCATGTTCTCTATTTTTGGTGATATATTCATTAATGGGTCTCTTCTTGTATTGTTTGTTGGTTCCCATTCTGAGCAGCAAGTGAGATGAGATGACATAGTTGCCATTTGGCTGTAGATAAGTACATGTCTTCTTTTCATTGATTTCTCTCAGTTTGATTGCTGTTTGCTTATTTGTGTTCATTTTTGTCCTTTCTAAAAGGATCTAGAGAAAATCAAGAGGAAAGAGATGTTGGCACCAAGATTGGAGGAGAGTGTTCGAGTGGAGTCTGCCTCAAGGGCACAGCCACAGCAGATGCAAGAGAGGTCAGCTACTGACTTCGATTGTCAGGTTTTGCCTTCAACTAATAAGTCAATTTCAAGCACAACAACAGCTGCTGTCCGGATTCCCAGTCCCTCAGCAACTGGTTCCAGTTTGGACATACTAAAACAGGAGAAGTTAAAGGGCATTTCAAGCAATGCCATGGATGAAATAAAGGTGGCGGATGGTTCAATGCCAAAGAGAAAGGTAAAAAGGAAGCCTGAAATGGAGTTGGATGAAACTCATTTCCGTCCAGAGAAGTTAAATCTGCAACAGGGTAACGACAGGCACAAGTCCACGAAGCAGCTTTTGAATCTTGCCCCGAAATCAAACCTTCCGCAAACTGCTACAATGTTCGAGCAGTCAAGCTAACATAATGTCGTCCATTTAGGAGTTCTCATCATAAACTGATAAGTGCTTACCCATTTTTTTTTTGTTCTCCTTCCCTACTCATTCTTACCTTTTTAATTTTACTTTTCTTTATCGTTTCATTCGTTCAGAGTCTTCAGACCTACTGATTTGTCACCTTATCTGGTAGTACCATTTTTGTAATTACATGTTCTTTCTCTTGCAGTTAAGAGTTCTATGTTAAATAGGAGATAGCAATAAGGTTGTAATATTCTATTGCGAATGTATTTTCTAGGGAACCCTTTTTCCAGCTGGAATTTTTCTGTTTGCCTTTAGATCATTTGCAAACATAATAAATTAACCCCTAGATCTTATTCGTTATGCGGGTGTTTTTTTTCCTTTTCTTTTTATTTTTCCTTGCTAAAAATAAGGAAAATTTTAATTTTTTATTTGGTAATACGGTTTGTGTGATTATAAAAATATTTTTTACATATCCAGTTAGTGTATTTTTTACATCGGGTTAGTGTATTTAAGGTTTTATTTTTTAAATATTTTAGTGTATTTAAGATTTTATTTTTGAAATATTTTTTTCTTCACGAGGAGAAAATTACTAGGAAAGGATTTATAAAAGAAATTGCAAACTTGTAAGAGCCGTCTGATCCAAACCATGGACTGGCCTAGTAACTATCCCATTAACCAAAACAGAAAAGCCCCATACAAACGATCCATTTTGGCCCATACTATATAAGACCCAGACCCTGCCGCGTTTTTCCATTCCCACTTCTTCCTTTCCCATAAAGCTTCCCTCATACAAACGGACTACCTCTCTCTAACTCCACAAAACCTAACTTACCTTGAAAAAAAAAAAAAATTCCAGATATAGAGGTTGAGGAAGAGAGAAAAAAAGATGATGATGACTAAGACGAAGGCGTTCAAGATGTGTTGATGCCACGAAACTTGGTCCTTCCTCAAGTCTTCGACAAACTTCACGGCTTTCTCAAGGATAGCGGAGCCCAAGTCTTCCTCTGTTGTGAGCCTTCTCGAAACGCCCCCGATGATTTCCACGTCATCTCTCCCATCGATCACGTAAACTCCTTTTTGCCGCCATTTTCATTTTGCAAAATATTTGAAATTATTTTTAAATGTCTTTATTTCATTTAATTAATTCCTTTGAACTATATGCTTGATTTGCTATCACATTGTTTCGCTGGTGTGGACTTAGGAGATTTAGCCATGCTATGTGAGTCAATCCCTCTATGGCGAGCTCAAATGTCAATGTGTGCGTTGTGCTTTTCTGTGTATCAATTCTTGTTGAGATGCTGTAGAACTGGTTTTTCTGGTAAAGGGATATCTTTGTTGAGATTTTCTTTGGCTAAGCAATTGAATCACACAATTGAAGAATGGAATTGAAGAAGGGAATTCCCTCAACCCCACTCAAATTAAAAAAAAATTACAATTATATGTATATAGTTGTAAAATTTGTGTAATTTTTTTGTATTGACTCCGCTCAAATTCAATAAAAACATAAAACGATAGGTTAAACAAAAAAAAAAAAAATTATAAGGACAATACTAATATCTAGATTCAAATTAGATAAAAGTCTTTACATTTTTAATATTAAATATAAGAAATTTGGATGTCTTAAATGATAGTGCCATGACATGATTGTATTTTCTTTACTCTTACTAGAAGATGAAACCGAACATGCACTCTTCCATGATTATCTCTTAGATTCTTTATCTCTAAGGAGATAGAGTCTAGCACACATCCTAGCATTGCCAATCTTCTTCCCTGAATCCAAGCCCTGAATTTCACTAATGTTAGAAAGAAATTTAGTAACACAATTAAGATCTCTCGTAATTTTACTAATAGACAGAAAGTTGCAATCTAAATTAGGGACATGAATAACAGAGTCAAGTGTTATGTCTTTTGAAATAATGATTGAACTTGTCTTGGCTACTCGGAAAAGTGACCCATTTGGTATTCGAACTATGAGGTTTTCAGTATATGGTGATGTATTCATGGAACACCGATGCATCACCGGTCATTTGGTCTAATGTACTTGAATAAACAATCCAAGATCTTGATCCACTTTACACAAGTAGTGCATTGAGAGAGTTACCATTTTTTGCAACAGACGCTGTGCTTACAACTGACTCAGTGTTCTGAAGAGATTGCTAAACAATTTTCTAAAGGAGTTTCAACTGCTCTTTATTGAACGGGATTGATTCCGGGAGTGTTGGAGTTGTCTCGGTGGTGGCAAAATGCTCATGACTCTCTCGATTTTGAGTAGAACGTGGTTTGTAGTCAGTAGGTTTCCCATGGATTTGCCAACAATTTTCTCGTGTGTGCCCTGCCTTCTAATAGTAGTCATACCAAGATCTGTTACCTTTCTTCTGTTGATTTTCACCACCTTGGTAGGATTTTGGTCTTTGTACAGCAAAGGCTGAATTTTCTGTCTCTTGTGGATTGCATGATGTCCCTAACATCACTTTCCTTCTACTTTTTTCTCAACGGACCTCAAAGAAAACTTCTTGGATGCTGGGTAATGGCTTGATGCTAAAAATTCTTTCACGAACATCATCAAGGCTCTTGTTTAGACCAAGTAGAAACTTATAAACTCGGTCATTCTCCACTATTTTCTTGTATTGCTGGTTATCGTCAAGGTACTTCCATGCTATTTCTTCAAAGATATCTAATTGCTGCTAATAATGAGTTAAGAAATTAAAATATTCCATGATAGAGGAGTTTCCTTGCTGCAGGTCATGTAGAGTGCTTTTGATCTCAAATATTGCAGACGTATTCTCTATGTTGGAGTAGGTTTCTATGTTGTTGGCCAGGGTGTAGATAGAAAGATAGAAAGAAAATATATATATATATATATATATATATAGCTAAAACATCAAATTTGGCAAATCCCATGATATCCTAAAGATAATAACAAATCACCTAAAAATCTTCTAACAATAAATAGAAACTACCAAGTAAGAATTTGATCAATGAGCCAAATCCTTTTTATTTAGGAAACAACCAAAATACTAAATGAATGGCACCTAATCAAATCTGGTTAGGAATCAGTTTTTCACATAGGTTTATTCTATACATGCTATTTTGGCTATCGTGGTTATTCTGTAAATAATGACTGTTGCTAATGCAGGTTCATCCAAATGTTCCTTGTATGCTTTTTACACCTATCTGCCCACATTCCCTCTCATTTAGATCAGTTATACTTCCAGATTCTGCAAGGCTTAAATTGAAGGTAAAATTATTCACATATGAAAAGACTACGCATATTTTATTCTAGACCCCTTTTTTTCCCATCTAATAAGAACGTAGTGGAATTCTTTTATGCTTTGTCTTAAACTAGTATATTATTTTTGCTTTAATTAGTCAAACTGGGTTCATGTTTTATTTTTCCAATCAATTTCTCATGTGCTATATTAGAAAAAGTTCATTAGCTTGTTCTTATGCATTATGGCTAAGTGCTCGTTGAATACTAACAAGGGAAGAATAAATTTAAATTCTTTGATTTGCTTGGTATATTAATCCTCTTAGTGACTGTATGTTATCTACATTACATAGGTGTGGGTGTGGTAATGTGTATGCATGGGCATTGGAGTCAGCTCTTCTAACCTTCATGTGAAAGGTTTGTGGTGTTTTTCAAGGATTTGGCGTTATCCAATCTTTGCTATATTATTTGAAGATTTCTATGTTACTGGTCGCAACCCCCTGTTTAAACTTGTTATTTATCATTGGCATATGAGAAAAAAATTGTTTCTGTGCTGTACCTGGCTGGAAGTTGCCTGCCTGTTTGTTTAGTTGCTGTAGAGTCTTGCCTGACAAACCATCAATTGGCCAGTTGGACTCTTGCTTGTAACTATTTTTTCATTTTCTTGGATGTTGCAAATAATTTAAAATGAGGTGTTTTAATAGAGAATTAAACAGAGAAAAGATGGTGTTTAACTTTCTGCTGTTATTGGATGGTCTTCCAATTTTGAGAGCTCAATTGGTTTTTTTTTTGTTTTGTTTTTTTTTTGGGGGGGGGGGGGGGGTCATATTGCACCAAATATGCTCATTTGATGTTACTTTGTCAGCCCTTCTAAGTAATGCTCTTATTAATAGCTATATTCCATGTTAAAACTCAATTAGCTTAACATAAGTAAACACTTCAATATACACAAATGAGGTTGTATTTCTGATACTTGTTCTCATCTTTGTTATAAAGGTTATAGTCGGGTAGAGAGTTGTGGGTTTCTTTTGCACAAGCTAAGGGCATTTTTTGCTTAAGGGGATAAAACAAAAATTGTGTGAATGAAGCTAAACAAACTGAAATTGCATTTTAAGTCTGAGAGTTCTTCAAAGATGACATCACAGTATCTGTATCTGAAGGAGATTTCATTGCCTGTCTTTTGAAAAAACCTTGCAGTTTACCAAATTCTTTTAGGTACATTATATAAAGCATTGAAATATCGTTGTTTGTGGCTTCACAGATTCCTGATGATGCTTGGAGTAACGCTTGGGTTTCTTTTGATGGGAAGAGAAGGCAGCAACTCTCACGAGGACATTCTGTCAGAATATCTATGAGCCAGCACCCCCTCCCAACTGTCAATAAATCTGATCAAACATGTGATTGGCTCCACTGCTTGATTCGCTGCCTAAACTCGAATGAGAGAATGGATCAAAAAGCCCTGTAAGGCCTTGCCTCTGACATTGGGTAGCAAGTTTCTTCATCCTCAAGGTAGGATAATGAAGCTTCATGTAAATGGCTGTACAAATCTAAATGGGAAAAAGTAAAAAATGTTTAATATACAAATAGTGGATGTTATTCATTACCAACATAGGCTTGTCCATGTCAATTTTCACCCTTAAATTGTACAAACACTGTCAGTTAGGACACGGCACGAATTTGAAATAAGGAAAAAAAAAAGATCTGATCATTTCTTTTTGGTGAAAGAATCTAATCATCAAATGTGTTGTATTAAAGCTATAATTTGTCATTGCATGATCAATTACGTATGTCTTTCTGGTAGTTTTGTATCATATATTTCTGCAACTTAATAAGAGAATGCGGGAATTATACAGATTACTTTGGTGGTGCCCTCGTACTTTCAAATAGTTTTGAATTATCAAAAAAGTTGTCACATAACCTAATTTACTTATGATGATTTAACGAAGGTTTGTCTTATTAAATTTTTGAAATAATTGTGAAAATTAAATAATGAAAACAAGAGGAAAATCACAATGAAGTCAAATACTCTGAAAGATGTTTCTTAAAATAAATAGTAGAATTCATAAAATATATATGATTATAATTTACAATGCCAACTTTAGCAGATGCATGAGCATCTCATCATGTTCATCACCCAGAAACAGACCCTGGTAATATTATTTGAGCTCTCTATCCTTCCCCGCAATTTTATTTTTGAGGAAAGAAAGAGCTCTCGTCTTTGGTCAAATGCTTAATTATATAAAGAGCCATGTACCAAGGAAGAAAGTGAAAGGTAAAAGAAAAAGAAAAGAAAAATTCATCATTTCAGTTTTTAGCTTCTTATCTTCTTGCTGTTACATGGCCTTTACAGCTTGGAACCTTGGTTCTTTAGGGAGGAACTTTTGCTGAACATAAACGGACATGTAGTCGCCAAAAACAAACTTGGGATAGGTTTGTTTCACTTCTTGGTTTGTTTTCTCCACCAGCTGTGGTGCAGGAGCTATGGTCGCCTTAAGGGATGGATTGTAAAATGAAGCAATCGATCTCCTGTTCCCGTCATTGGTGCTCAAAACACGGTGCCAAGTGCTCTTGTACCGGCCATTGCTCAAGACCTCTATCTGATCACCAGTGTTGATGACAATGGTGTTTGGCAAGGGCTGGACATCAATCCATTGCTCATCTTTCAGGATTTGAAGGCCTCCTACCTTGTCATCTTGGAAGAGTAAGATCACACCGCCTGCATCGGTGTGCGCTCGAAGACCATTCACTCTCTCAGGGTGAGGACACGGTGGGTAGTGGCTAACCTTGGTGCCAAAGAAGGCATTCTCACCTTCTCCATCATTGAATGCCTTCTTGATGTATCCCTTTGGTAAGCCTAAGTTTTCATCCATTACTTCCATGACATTCTCAGCCAATTTCTTCAACTCAAATCTGTATTCTTTCATGGTTTCCCTGTCGTGAACATCAACAAGTTAGATTATATATATTCAGCCATTAAGCAAGCATTTTAATGAATTAACACGTTAAGAACTGATAGATGTATTACTTACTGGAATCCAGGTGTTTGGGATGGCCATTCATTATCATCCAGGAGATTAATGGCATCCTCCCAGTCCACATTCTCCAACTTTTTACCAGTCTCATCCAACAAATTCACCAGCTTTGAGTTCCTGAAATTCTCTTCCCTTTCCAGCTTATAGAACTCGGATGAAACCTTCTTTACCCTCTCCAGCAGCTCCTCCGGAATCCAATGGTTCATCAGCTGCAACAAATATGCATGATATAGATAGAGTAAAACTAATGCTTTGTTTCCTATGGCTAAAGATAATAAAAGGGTACCTGAAAGAACCCCCATTCCTCGCATGCATTTGCAATTTGAGCCAGTGTCTCGGCCCTTTCCTCACCATTGAGCTTAGAGAAATCAATCACGGGAATAGCCATTGAAGTGATATAAGTAATGAACGTAGTGCTCAGAAGGATTGAGAGAAAAGAGAGTGATACTTAAAGTTGCGAATGCTTAGCCAAGTTTGTAGTTTTGTGGTTGACAGGGAAGAGGGGTTGGCCCTATTTATAGCAAAGCAAAAGCAAGCTTCCCGCCATATTGGATTTGTCAACTATTTTTACTCAATGCCCTTTCTTGTTCCTGGAAGTAGCCGTTGGGGTGAGGTATGGGACGGTGACACAATCATTAATTATTAAATCATTAAAAACAAGGTCAATGCTTGAGATGTTACTCACTGGTAACCCACAACAGAGGCATACTTTCCATCGGGAGTAATAATGTTGCTGATGATCATTTCCTATGATTAAAACTCCTCTTTAATTATCATTAATTAATAATTAATAAAACTCTCTTTTCTATCGCTGCCACGTACTAATCTCAGTTTTGACATCAATTACAGTACCACCGAATTAACAACTCACTGGTATAATTTAAATCTTTGCCGACCTCCCACTATTTGCCTTGATTTATAATGTTTGGCTGGTCCCCTTGATCTTGTAGACTGTAGCCCCCATCACCGTCTCACCTCCCACACATGAACATGCTCTTCAACCAAATGCACTGTTATACATGTAGGCATAGTTTAAGGGTTAAGCAAGGAAGATTATATGAACTTATTTAGATATAAATTAAAATTTAAAAATTTATTTGAGTTTAATAAAAATATACAAATTTATTTAAATAAAATGGTAAAATTCAAAAGGTTTTTTTATTATTTGAGCCTATATTATATCATAAACATAGCTATCATCAACTCTTTACTTAATTAATGCATTGTCAACTCCATTGTTTTATATTCCAACAAGCTTTCCTTTTTCTTTTTCCTGTCTTTTTATTTTTTATTCTTAATTGGGGAAGGTTTGGGATACAATTTAATGATCAACATTTCCATTTTGAAAGGTTAAGCCAATCTTATAAAATCAAAATCATTATAATATTTCTTAACACTTTACTTTTTAAATTAATAGGAAGATTTGTATAAAAATCTCTAATCTTTATTTTAAAATTGATTTTTAATATAAAATTAGTGTCGAGAAATTTGAATTTTGGGTTACGGCATTTTATTGGATATACTAAGTATTATATGGACAAATTTAATTACAACGGTCTATTATTTTTATTAAAGTTTGTATTACTTATAAGGATTTTAAAAAAAAAAAAAAACAGTGTAGTTTATACACTAGAAGTGGTATTTTGGAGGGTAGGGGATCTGTAATTCAAGAAGCTGCAGTACAGCATCAACAGTTGATGCATAGTTGGCAATTTCTGATCTTGATTCCAAAAGTGTCCAAATTTTAGGGTACAGCTTCGAAGAGACAGGCTATATTGGCCGTCTGATGAAGAACTTCCATCACAAATTTAATTAATTCATTGCTGTACTTGTTAGTACCTCTCTCAAAGAGTTTGTCAAAAATATTAATACATGATGGATCAAACTGATCTCAACAAGATTGCATACATAATTGGCATGTTTTGGATCTTATGATACATAACCACTGCTGCATCATGGGCCACGATGCATGATTCTTAATCATTAATCGTCCACCTCCAAGCTTTGATTCGATTATTTCAATGATTTATGTTTACATATTTTGACTATTTTTAGAATAAAAAATCTTAATTTATTGTAATTAAAGAACTTAATTTGCAAAGGTGCGATGAGATTTGAATAAAGATTTTAAGTTCTGGTGGCATTATATTTATTTTTTATTTTTAAAAATTGACATCTTCAACATTTAATTGAGCAAGAAAAACTTTTTTTTTTTTTTGAAAAACTCTAAATTTTTTTTAAAAAAATTGACATCTTCGAAATTAATCAATAACTAAAGAGAGATAATTCAATCCATGACCTTGTAAATAATTATTAATTAATTAAGAGTTTTATTATTAAGTAGATGGAACATGGGTTTGTTGGTCAAATGTCAACTTAATTTGCAATTAGAAAATAAAAAATCTTCATCATTAATTTATAACTTGTACTAACTAAGAAGACCATTGCCCAAATCCACGAGCCTGCATCAAGCATTAGCATTTCTCCTCTGAACCAATCTATTAGACAAAGAAATCCATCTGCAAAATTCTCTGTTAATTTCATATGTTATTCCTATGTTTTTTTATCTCTTCTTTAGTCCCTTTATCATGCAAATAATAAAAAAGGTTGAAATTGATGACTTGGGTGTAGATCAAAATCTCATTAAAATGAAAAATTTTCAAATAAATCGATAGACTGAAAGGATTCACGTATTATAAAATATTTTTTTGAAAATAAAATCTTTATATTAAAAAAATTATAAAATCTCTAACTTGATTTTATGTGTCTAAATTACCGTCTTAAAGAATTACGAATATATATCCTAGTATTTAATTCAATAATTATTGTATATTCTCTTATTCAAATTATAGAATTAAAATCTTTCTTATTTCTTTTTTTTTTTAAAGTTAAGAATATGGATTTGATCGCTTCTTGGGCTTCACATTTTATGCTATTATGCTACATCTATGGTTACATTTGATAATGTTTTTCTTAAACTAGTAATTAATCTAATACATTGACAAAATAAATAAATAAATAAATGAATCTAATGAATGCAAAAACTAAGGACACACCCTACCTGAGAAGCAACTTCTCCTAACTAACAACATAGAACATCTTAAATTACTCTTCATATAAAATTAGTTAATACTATTTATAAGAATTTATAATCATTTTATTATTACTATTAATATTTAATATGAGGCTGGCGTTATAGGTCTTTAAATTCATTCCCCCAAGACTTGTCTTCGGATTGAGGGTGCTCTGGGGATTGAGTAATATTAATATATATTCACTGCATGAATCAAGGGTTAGGGTTAAAATTTGATTTTTTTTTTTCATTTCTATAGCTTAAAATTAAAGAAAGTCTCTGTTGTTTCACATGGTGCTGACTAATGGGTGTTTCTGATCAGAAAGCATTTGTTTCCATGATAAAGAAATGGTCTAGGGAGTCTGTACATAGTTTTGGTTTTCTGGTCTATATGTCTTCCATTTATTAAATTTAATTGACTTTTATTTTAAAATCATATCTTCTTATTTAAATAAAGTTTTTTTAATTAATGTAATTAAAAGATTATGAACGAACTTTAAAGTTAGTTGTATTATTTATAATAATATTTTTATATTAAATGCAGTAATTGATTTTTAATGTGATAAATTTTAATATATTAAAAATTATTTAATAAGATAATTTTAAAAAATACACACTTTTTGCAAAAACCAATAAGTATTTTGAGCCAAAGAAGTAAAAAAAATGTTAATGTTTTCATGAAGATGATATTTTACAAACTTAATTTAATTAATTTTTATTTTTTTGACAAAAAATAGAGGAATTTAAAAAAAAAAAAAACTATTTTTCTGTATAGGAGGGATGATATTATAACAAATAACAATTCATAAAATTTTTGGCAGAAAAGAAAAAAAAATTCATAAAATTAAGAAGGAAACTGTTGCTAGAAACCAACCTTGTTTTTTTTTAGGAGAATATATATATTTTATTCCGTAACTTTAAAGTCTTTAACGCCCTAAATATAATATTAAAGTTGCTAACCATGAAGAATGGGAAAACAAAGACAAATAAAAGTTGCATTGACTTGCCTTTACCCATGGGCCATAGCTGCTAGACTTGACATGGAGTGGTGTGCCCTAGGCCTACAAGCTCAAAGGACCGAGACTTGGGGTCACTTTTAGTAGGCCCCAATAGGCTAAATATTCAAAGCCAACAAGTAGGCTGCTCATTTAAGCCCAGTGAAGCCGAAGTTGAAGGACTTGAAAGAAATATTGACATGCAGATGCAGATAGGAGAAGGATAATGCAGTCTGATGTATTGAAATAAAAGCAACATTGATTCAGTAACAGCTGAGCATTAAGTCTTCTATCTGAAGATATGGAATGCCATAGTGGAACCTGAATATAAGTCATTCAATAAAACGAAACGCATGCGAATACATTGACTCTAATAAAAGAATTTCACATTTGCTTTCAACTCAGCACCAAAAAATTTCCATGATCTCAATGTACATATATACATGCCAGGATGAACTTTGAGAACTTTTGATGGTATCGTACAACAGGCATACTTTTCATTGGTGATAAAATTTATGGTACAACCAAAGTCTTTGTAGACCATTGCCTTAAGCATACTGCAAAAATGCAGGACAGTTTGAAACTTGTTGGCCAAAAACACAGCTTTGTAGGTTATATGTATCCGAGTGATATAATGGAAACTTTGCTCCTTTGAACTAAATAGTATCCACAATCTAAGTTGTCAAGAAGCCTTGTGGCGAGAAATTATGCTGACTCCGCTGGTCACCCTGCCACCCAAAGACTCGGAGTATTTCTTCCCAAAGCAGACTGGAGCAGTTGTATTAAAAATGAAGCTAAGAATGGAAAAAGAATATAAAATACCCTTGTCAGAATTATACTATGTGATCTCCTTCAGTATACCATTGATGAGATTTCATCCGACTGTAGTTCACTTTGGAGACTGGAAGAGCAATATCCAATCCAAACGCCCTACATATACTCCGTTGATGGTGAATGTAATCAATATCAACTGCCAACAAAAAGGAAAAAGGTTGACTCAAAAAGAAACTTAAAATAAATAAATTAAGAAAAAAAGAAAACACAAGAATTTTCTTCTTGAAAAGCAAAATAATATTATTAATAGGAAAAAAGTACACAAGCCGATCACAAGAGAGTGAATAGTAAAAGCATTAATACATCTCAAACAGAATGGAAATAACCAGGCCTAAGATTCTCTTGTTTAGATAATAAGGGAACAAATGAATGATTTTGAGGGGCAAATCTTGACATCATCATAAAACCGAAAGAGTTCGAAAGCAGTCCCATCTCGAAATTGATAGAAAAAGATATGCAGAAATAAACCTTTGTTTGATCAACATCTGCTTTCATGACAAAAATAGCTCTTGGGACTCCATAGGAGATGACCAATAATACAAGAGTGGTTCTTGTGCTGAGCATTGAGATGAAAAATCGACACCCATCAATTTTATATTCTTCAAGAGGATTTCTGTGCCCAAAGCTTCTTACATTTACCTGTCAAAGACTGCCATAAAAGTGCATCTATGTTTGAAATCTGAAGAGAAGAAAGCAATATATTCAGATTAAGTACAGCAGAACTCAGCCTGTTCATGTTTATGAGATGATCCCTCCAGGAACAATCCAGAGTCTTGACAAGAACTGCTCTCTGAATTCCAAACATAAGGAAATTAGCAGAAAAAAGCAGAGAAAATAAACAAGATCTTGGATGGCATTTAAGAGGTAGTAAGAGTATAGGCTGAAAAAAAGAACCGATAACTAAGAAAGTAGCTGATATGTGCTCTCTAAACCACATATACAAATATTAACTAGAGTTTGGAAGTCGAAAGAAGGTAGGTGAAAGGAACCCGATGCCAAGGTCCCATAGTAACTTTCACAGGATCAAGCCATTGATTGGAAACACTACTCATGTAAAAGAAGCACCTGACCTCAATTTCTTTTATGTACACATCATCATAACCCGATTCTTGTACAATGGTCAAGTATGACACAATCAAAATATCCCCAAGGTATTTGCAGAGAAGACTAGTTGTTGGTCGGTACCTCCCATTCCTAGAGTAGAAATATCAACGGTTATTATTTAATATCAAAATGGTCTAGAACTAAACTGAATTGTGGAAACCAATGTTTTTCCCTCCCCTGTTTTCATCTCAGCAATGGACCCATCATGAAGTACCGCTCCACCAATAATCTACCATAAAAAAACTTTTAGGATAATACCTATCATCAAATGAATAACGAACATACTTGTATACAGTTATGTAATCCTAGAGACATGATCAGAGTATCCATGCAAGCACACAGTCATACATGTTTTTTTGCCTGTATCCATAAAAAGATAAAGGCCAGCACATCAAAATGGCCCATGCCAAGCTTCCTTCTTGCAGCTTCACGAACAACAGCAAATTCCTCTGTAAAACCAACAATAAAAAGAGCCTTAATTCTCATATAAATTTCATAAATTCAACCCTCTGAAACAAAAGCATTAATAAAAACTAACCAGCTTGAATATCCGAAAGGGTATCTCCTTGGCTCAACCTTTTCTTAAACTCAGAAGTTTTAGCAGTAAGCTACAAGACACAAGCTCAATCCATTATCCCAATGAACCAAACAATGGCAACGCAAGTAATTGACTGTAAAAAGCCGACCAACCTGCTCATCAGATAGCCTATGAATCTCTCGCTCAAGTGTATTGACAGAGTCGACAAGACGATAGTAATCACGAACAACCCAGTAGTTTAAGCTAGTAAAATCACCCAAAGTCTTCTTAAAACGACCCACGTTCTCCTGAAACAAAATTAAAAAAGGGCATCAAAAGTGCACAGCAGCAACTCCGCACGGATAAAATCAAAGCAGTTGATCAACGATTGCGAATAGTGGAAAATGACACAAAACGTGACCTTGAAAGATGCCGCTATAGGCTTTTGACCATTAAAACTATGTCGCTGAAAACCGGAGAAAGAAGGAAAAGATGAAAGTAAGAGGGAAGGGGAGGTGGGTTTTGTACAAGGGATGGTTTGAGGGGTTTTGGGTGAGGAAAGAAGTGTTAAGAAGAGAAGGCACAGTGGCTATTTGGGCAGCTGTCGTTGCCGTTGGCTTCTCCTATGAATTATGATAGCATTTGTCTGGCGTTTCCTTCCTGCAATTAGCTTTGGAGCTCAGCTCTCCATCAGGGAAAGAACTAAGTGTTGGTCTTTTTTTTTTTCTTTTTTAATTTTAAATGCTACATACATCCTACCAAATTCAAGTTTCATTTTTTTATTTCTATTAAATATACCTTATCCTTCGCTTCATATTTTCTATTCCTACATTTGTTTTTCATCTTTTCTTTTACCTCCAAAAATCAAGTTTTTTAAAAAACGAATAACCAAGAAATTTTAAAAATTTTTGAAAATAAATATTCAAAAAAATTTAAAAAATTTTTGAATATCCATTTTCGAAAAGCTTCAAAATTTCTCGATTATTAATTTTCGAAAAAGCTTTATATTTTTTATAATATCAATTTCAAGAAGACGCAAGACTTTTTAAAAATGAATATATGAAAAAATATGAAGGTTATTAAATCTCTATATATACGAGATACCTTAGAGCTTTTGGTTTTCTAGATAGGATAAATCCATTAATAGAGATCTCCAATCTTTCAACTATCAATAATTACTGTTTGTTCAATAATGTTTATAATATTTTTGCAATTCTAAAAGATATCCATCTTAAAAGAATTGTTAAGTGTAAAAAGACGCTAGTATAAAATAATTGTTACATCATATGTGATGAAGTGCCATGTGTGATTGAGCTTCATCGTACATGATGCAGTAGCTACTTGTACGAACGTTATTCACCATTAACAATTTTTTTTAAATATACATTTGTTAGAATTGGATAAAGTTGTGAATATTATTTATCGAATAGTGCTTGATCGAAAAATTTAAAGTTTTTATTATCAGATTTATACATCTTATATGTCGGAGCTTGAATACCTTACATAAACAATATTAGCAGCAAATTGACAAATCAGATAGTATCTAATTTTTCAATCATCAATCCTTACTATCAGATTTATTAATTTGTTAATGATATTTTTTAGTGACCCTAATATTAGAGATCTCGATTTTTCTGTTATCAAAAGCTTATAATTAAATATATATTTTAAAAAGAATTTATGCATTCTTGGAATCAAATTTTAAAAAGTTATATTGTGTTAAAAATTCATTTTTAAAAAAGCAATATAAATATCAGAAATAGATTATGAGAGGCGTATTTTATTTTTAATAATCCATTTATGAGAATTATATTATTTTCTTAAAAATAAATTTTTAAAAATATTATATAACACTAAAAAATTCATTTATGAGAAATATGATATGCTCTTTGCATGTATAAGTTATTAAGGGTTTTTTTTTTTTTTTTCATTTATTAAAAGTTAAAATTGGCATTTGGTATGTAGGTATTTTTTTTAAAAAAAATTTTAGTTGTATAAAAAAAATTTGATTATGTATTTAGAAGCCTTTTCTATCTTTTCTTTTGCGAAGGTTTTAAGCTCTATTTATTTCGTAGAAAATGGCTTTTAAAAAATAATTTTAGTATTTTCAAGTATTTGTTTAATAAAAAATTGACTGGTCAATAGAAAATAAAGGTTTTTTTTGAAAATTATCTTATAAATTTGAAAAGGAAAATATATTTTTCAAAAAAGAACTATATATTAGTAAAACTATTTATCAATACTTTTGAGCATAAATTTATTTATAAATAATATTATATTAATAAATAATATTATAAATTATTGATAAATTATATATTGTTAATAAATAATATTAATAAATAAGATTATAATATTAATGAATAATATAAAGAATAATAAATAATTTTATTTTAAGTATTTTTTTATATTCACATAATATTCTAACATTAAATATTATTATTAAAATATAATTATTTTTAATATTAGTAATTTTAATAATAAATAATTTCAATATACTTTAATAATAAATAATTTTAATATTTTAATAGTGATATTAATATTATTTGAAAAAAATAAAATTTTCCAAAAATTAACCAAATAACGGAAAATATATTTCCTTAACTTATCCAAATAATACAAAATATTTTTCAATTCAAAAAATACAAATATTTTTAAAAAATAATTTTTTAAAAGTCATTTTCCACTAAACAAAAAGAAGCTTTAATTCTATAAAATTTTAGGCCTAAAAACATTTAACATTCTTGAACTCTTGTTTCTTTCTTTTTTCTTTTTTCTTTTTAATTTCCCTTATTCTATTGAAATATAAAGTCTTTTATTGCTTAATAAATATTTACATTGTATTTCACACTGCAAAATCCTTCCTTCCCTATAATAATTACCAAGAAAAAGAGGCCAATCTATCAATGGCCATTTTAGCTTCTCTTGGCTAGTGATATAACTACTTGAGCACTGCATGTTGTGGAATCTACAAATTTGTCTATTGACATCAACATATATACATGTGTTGAGAGTGTATAGGTACATTTTTCTGCACAAAATTCATCGTCTACAATCTACCACTCCATTGGCTTGATCCAGACTACAAGCAGAGAACAACAGCTATCTAAATGAGATTTTGATCACTTCCCATGATAGAATACCTGCATGTTCAGATCAGTATTAACTGATTCAGCAGCAAATCATCCTTGGTTGGAAGGAAAAGAAAAACAAAAGCAGACCCTTAACCACACAGCAAATTTCCTTTTCATTGTTGGTTATTACACACATGCCTAGATTAAAGCCTATGAACAGAGACAGGGAGGTTCTGTTGAGTTAAAAAAAAATAAAAAGATGTTAGAATCGAAAACAAAAAAGTGGTTATTTGCGTAAAATATTCATTGGATTGGTCATCTCCTAACAAATGTTACAAAAGGAGCAATTCTCATGAAAATATACAAAAAAATATGTAAACATACCTTCAGTGTCCTATCGCCAAACCCGACAAAAAGCTTTCCTTCACAGTAAGATAAAGCTGTTATGACAGAATCACAAGGAATTGATCCAATAACTCTAACATCCAAATCAAAATCATCTCCTGCTAATTCCTGCAAATCAATTATATATATAACATTGTAAATATAAACATAAATAATAATAAAAAAGAATCTACATCAACCAATTCAACAAATTAAAAATTAAAGAAGAAATAAAAAGAATTCCTAGAGGTGAATGTTTTTATAGAATAATAGGTTAAAATCCTCATCCAAGCTGCCTACTTCACAGGCAGACAAGGATCAATAAGTGAAGTCTAAACAAATACAATAACAGGCTGTGTTCAAACCTGTGCCTTGATGGTTCTGTCCCAACTTCCTGTGAAAAGCCATTTCCCCTTTAAGCTAATAGCGAAAATGGCACCATTGTGTATTTGTATAGATTTCCTGAACACATCATCCCTCCAGATCTAAAAAGAAGAAGAAAGGATGGAAATGATTTCATTAACAAACTCAAGAAACTAAAGGAAAAGGAAAGAGGGTGGAGGAGAGAGTAGAAAAAATGAATTTGGCCTTTCCACACGGAGAGGAGAAACCAACAGTAACAATCCTATTGAAAGTTTATATTTTCCACCTAGTAGTTTCCTATAAGATTAAATGTCCCCTTTGTTTCCCAATATAATATACATTTGCTGACAAAACATTCAAATCAGACTTTTTGCATTCCAAGCAAGGAGTTTCAGGATTTGGATACTGGCATCAACTATCATTTGGGTATAATATTACTGTATGATAGGCCATAACATTACTGCACGGTTACATCAATTCATTTCCATGAAAATTGCAAATGCACATAAGAATGAAGGAAATTAAGACCAATTCAACAGCATTTTGAAGAACAAAGAACCTTTATAGATCCATTTTCATAAGTAACAACAACTGTGTTCTGGTCAGCTGCAAGAGACAAGACAGTTCCAGGTGTGTCACTCCCTATGACTGTCAAAAGGCTATGATCACTTAGACTCCACAATCTAACAGTTCCATCCCAACTCCCACTGTGAAGAACTCCATTACTCACTGCTAGCGTGGAAACTACAGATTTATGGCCACTCATAGTGCATGACAGGGTTCCATCCTGGAAGAAAAGAAAACCAAGGTTCTGAATGATCACCTAACATTTCAAAAGGTGAAGATATAGGCAGTGCAGGTCATATGATAAATTAAAGAAATTACCTGCAATGACCATTCTTTAATCAATTTATCTCCACTTCCAGTATATAAATATCCATTCTCTGAAACTGCCAAAGCGTGAATTCCACTGTAGCGCCAATCTTTTTCCTCATACCATTTTTTCAATGGCTCTTCTCTAAAAGGGATATTAATGCACCATACATATATACCACCTCCACTATCACCACTAATGCATAATGGCTGTTCTTCATCCACACAGACAACAGCCATGACTTTATGCTCATGACCTGTAAATGTATGCAAATGAGAGTAGTCCTGTAAAAAAAATGCAGGAAGAAAATGATTCAAAAGAAGCCAATAATCCAAATTAAATTACTCACAGAAAACTACAATTACAGAGTAAGGTTGAATTTTGATCATGCTAGTAGAGCCACTTGAAAATGACAATTTAAGATAGTATACCTGCAGAGACCATACTTTGACTGATTTATCAAAGGAGGAGCTAAACAGATAACCCCCTACAACAGAAGAAAAAAAATAAATCAGAATACAGCTCCTAAATTACCTAATATTCATAAACTCATTTTAAACAATCTGTGTGAAGAAGACCTTCTGACACACAGTTAACACTGAAAAGAGAAACAGAAAGGGAAAAAAACACCATTTAACCAAATACAATACAACTTAACGTTCAAAGAGTTGTTCCAAGGATCACGATGCACCCACAAGAAGAAGGGGGAGGGAGAGAAGCATCATATATCAAGCACTTGTGCAAAGGAAGAAACTAGTTTACCAATAGCAAATCTATAAACCCCTCCCCACTCCCAAGCCCAACAGACTCACCAACTCGATTAACAAAGAAATCCTTGTGATGTGGATAACTGGTAACTGTGGCAACCATATAACAGTAAATATGAAGTTAAAAATTCTAAATGCAGTTATAACAAAGGGCACAAATGACCACAGATTCACAGGCCTTGGGCTTGTAAAGTTTGTAAATACACACAGTATCAACTACTAGAAAGCCCTTCTATCATTTGGCTAGGAGAGATCCCTTTAAATTTCATTGATAGCATGGAAATTTTCCTTTTTTACCACTACTCAGCATAGAAACAATGTCTACAAACCAATTAGGCTCTGGTGCTTGAGAATTAAAAAAGATGTCACAATTACAAAGATTCGGAAGTGTTAGTTTCAGCAATATGTTGCAACTTGCAACTTCTTACCACAAATTGAACAATCATCTAAAATAGATTCAGGTAGCATTAAAAATTATTGAATTGAAACAGCTTATATCAAGGACAGAGACAAAGAAGTTATACTTGCAACAGCTAATCCTGTAACACAATCAAGATGGCCTTGCAAATCTTTAGATTTAATGCTTCCCTCTATGAGACCATTGACCATATCTGCACCATTTGTTTCATTTCCTTTTGACTCATCGTTTTCCTGTGTTTCGGTTCTTTCCCTGGGCAGTAGACACAATTTTCCAATAACCAAACATCGACCTCTATTCCCATCATAACTTGCTCTATCAAATTTGACTATTTTATCAAACTGAGGTTTAATAACTAGCTCCCTAATAAATTTCCATACATCTCTCACAAGTGAACGGTTCTCTGGATCAAAATCCAAACATTTACATAGAGTCTGTTGCAAAGACACATGTTCTGAACCAAATTTAGTTCCCAACAAAGAGCTAACGTTTTCCATCAAACTGGTGTAAACACTTGAACAAGCTGATTCACTATCTTCATCAACTTTCAAAACAATATGACACATAAAATCAACCAACAAATCACTAAAAACTTCGCCAAGGAGAATCCTAAGCAAAATACAACCTAACAACCAAACATCTGAGTTATACCCTATGGGATATCTTGAGCTACCACTATCAACTCCAATACCCTCTTTCTCCAACAGCTCAAGCAATGTCTCAGGGCTAACAAACACATCCCTTTTCAACAAATCTTTTAACAACACACCAATTTCTCCATCACCAATCTTTTTCCCACTGGAACCAACCTTTGCAACAACATCATGAATTCTCCTTCCAATCAATAACACCTCATTCAAATCAAGAAATACATGCCCAAAATCATCAAACTGAAAGCAAGAATAGCCTAAACAACCAGCAAACAACCCTTCTTTATGTAAAGAAATAACTGCCTCACACATTTCCATACCTATCATTGCAAAATTAAAAACTCCATCTTTTTCAAAACCACCGACGTTTTTATCCAAAAAGTTCCCTGATTCTTGCTTCTCACTCACTAAATACAAAATCCCATCTCCAAGATCACCCCATAAACCCAAAAACCTACAAATTCTACCACTTTGTTTAGTAAAAGCTCTTAAAACTAAACCCAATTCCTCTCTTTCCTCCTCCTTCATTTCACTCAAACAATCCATAACTCTCACAAGACAGCCAGCCTTAAACCCGGAACCATCCTGGCCACTTCTTGAAAAAGACCCAACAGTCAAAAGACTCACTTTTTTTCTCTCAACGGCGTCGTCAGGGAGAAGGTACTTTTTCCAGATGGAGTAAAACTCGTCTGACCAAGAGCGGGGGAGGAAAGGGATACGGGAGTCAATTGGGGAATTTTGAACCGGTTTTCGGGGATTTTCAGAGCCGGGGAAGAGTCTGAGGAGGTCGATGTTTTTGGGGAGAGTCTTGGGGCCCTCCGGAGGGTACTTGACGAGCACCGTACACGCGGGACAGCGGATTGCTCCCGGGAGCTTCTGAGGGAGGGTTGCAAGGCATAACTCACACACCGTGTGGCCACACGCGAGCACCCGCGGTATCGTGCATGCCTCGTCGTACGGTTGCAAACACACCGGACACTCTGGTAACTCCTGCGACTCCATCAATGTAAACAGGAAGAGAAGAGGTTTCGTCCTTTTATAGGCACCGTTCCATTTTGACCAAAACATATATCTTGACATGTTTACCCCTAAAGTTTTCGTTAATACCAAAATTACACTTCTTTATGGGTAGTTGGTTTTAACTTGCATCTTTTACTTCCCTGAATTCCATCTTTACTCTGAGATTTTGACGCATCAGCAGAGCAACGGAGAGGGATCGGGCAAAACTAGGGTTTAAAAGGTACGGCCTTCAATTTTGAAATTTCGAAATTCCCGTTGATTTTTATTATTAGCATTTCTTCAATCTTTTTGTTTTATCTTGATCTGTTTTTTTTTTTTTTTTTATCGGATTATGAAGCTGATTTCCAATTTTATTTGATGAGATCCGAAATGTGACATAGATAAGATTGTCATTCAACTAGGGTTTATCTAAATTTCACATTTCAATTTCTCATGTTTCCAGATTGTTAATTATTTCCTGAGTGTTGCTTAAGCTTTTTTCTTTTTCTTTTTAAATGCAACTTGAAGGCCATGGCTGGATCAGGGAGCTCGATGCTGTATTCATTTCTGCTATTTACTGTGATTCTCTCACTCCAAGAGATGTATCGAGGGAAGTTAGCGTCGTCGGAGCTGTTTACAATACTTGGAGGATTCATCAGCTCCCTCTTGTTTCTGGTGTCACTAACGGTGAGTCCTAGAAACCCTGAATTGACTCCTTTTCTTTTTTAGTTATCATCCGGAACTCAATCCGCCGTTTTATGTTCTGAGTTATGGTTTTAATCTGATTATGTGATGTGTTTGTCAATGTTGTAGACTCCAACACACTACAAGCTGAGCTCTGAAAACCGAATAGCATTCAGTTGTGCAACTTATATTACTTTATTTAGCATAATTTCCTGCCTTTTGTTATTTCAGTTCATTGGGAATTTCCAGGAAGCATGTGGGATGAGAACTGGCTGGGGTGCTGGTAAGTATAGAGAGGCTTCTTTTGATTTTTTTAGTTATTTATGGTTATCTATTATTAACAAAGGTCAGAAAGAATGAACCTTTAACCTTTTATAGTGCTCTGTTCGTTTCACTTTCCTTGGTGAAAATGTAGCATGCATACCATGATTAATCTAACGCAATTAAGATTGCGCATGGGTATGTCATGGGCTTGGAACTTAAGTAACTTAAGTAGTCTCTGTGGTGCCTGTGCTAGTCTCAGTGGTGTGCGTGCAGGATGTAACATGAAACTGTGCTTTCATGTTGCATGCTTTTTACTACTGAAAATTAACTCTAGTAAGAAGCTCAGAAGGTTTAATATTCAAAAGCTGTTATTTCCTTGTATTGTTAACAGTTACTGAAGAACCTGACATTAACTTCTGGGAAGAAACTGCTATTTATCTTCTACTACTCTGGTAGAGCTTTTCATGGGCAATGGAATTTAAGGATTCATCGTAATAACTAGCCCTTTGTTCTGACACATTTTACAATGCACGGGGTTCTCTGCTACAGAATTTGTTGTTTGTTAAAGAGCTTAACATGAATTGCTCTTGTTGTTTTGTTTTTGGCAGTCATATTAGCAGAAGCAGTTGCACTGGTTGCTGCTGGCACTGTTCACCGAGTTTGTATCACAACATGGTAATGTTAAGATGTGACCTCATTATCTGCATTTTACTGCATGTTCATGCATGCTTCTTGGGAAATTTTTTAATTCATTGACAGCATGGTTTGGTAAGTTTAATTCATGTTGAAGGAAAAACATGTTTATCTGCATTTTACTGCATGTTCATGCATGCTCCTTGGGAAAATTTTTAAATCATTGACAGCATGGTTCGGTAAGTTTAATTCATGTTGAAGGAAGAACATGTTTAAACAAGTCCACTTATAAAGGAGAAGCAACCCAATGTCACAGAGAAACTGGTAGCTGCTGTTGAACATGTCTCTTATAGACTCGTAGTGGAGCCAGGGTGATGGATTTGAACCTTAGACCTCCTTTTGACAAATTGTAGGCTTATAGCCACCCTTCCCCCCAACACACACGAAAAATGAAGATGATTCCTAATAGGTTTGCTCCATGCTGTGGAAACAGGGGCCAAAATGAGCATGAAAATCTGAAATGGTTTTTAATTGGAAAGAATTACAGTTTGCTTAGTTGGAAGCTTTCAGTTTGTGAAATTAATTTACCAATAATATGGACCAACCAGTATAATTAATGGAAAATCAGCTTTGTGTTTGTGTTTTACAAATATACATACTAATAACTGTTTTTATGTTTTTGTATTCTATGCAGTTTCTTGTTCTCAGCTGGATTACTTTATGAGATCAGCAAGATTTCAGGAGTGACGCTTTCTAAAAGCGAATCAAAAACAAAGAGGCACTGAGTTGAAATATTGTTCCTTTGCACGGTAATCCATATTTGATTAGAATGCTACCTCTTTGTGCCATAGGGACTAGATGTAATCAATAGTCATCAGTGATGCGAATTTAGAAATTTATTTGTAGACGTTACTGCTACCAAGGACTTACACACGGGTAATGGGACATAGATCTTCTCTCCACTCCCTCCCTCACCCTTTTTTTCCTTTGAATGAAGAATTTTACGAATCGATATTTTTTTTTCTTGCCCATTGGTGCCATTTGTGCGTGCTAAATTAGTTTTGGTGAAGTATTCTTATAATGAAGTTAATGAAAACAAAGTAGTAGTCAACTTCAGTTTTTATACAAGCAGATTGGTGGTGCATTTTCATGTTGGCATGGCATCGTCCATGGCAACAAGAGATGGATTGAAGAACTCAATTAAAGATAATTATTCCAGATAGCCCAAATGTGCATTCGACTTTCCAAGAACCAATTACAATCCTCTTCCTCCACTTTCATCAGTTACCATATAGACTTGGGTTGAGCTAAAATAATAAGTAAAAATAAGTCTAAATCTCGATATAAAAAAAATTTTAATATTATGAATAATTTTTAAATTAGAGATATTAATAAATAAAATATGATATGGATAAAGTATTTTTTTATTTTTTATTTTTTTATATTATATTTATTTTTATATTTATGTCAAAAAATATTTTAAAATCATTTTCATACTTAGCTTTGCGTGTATTTAATAAATACGATAATGTTCGTACTCTTAACTTTTATTGAAAAATAATATAAAAAGGATATATTTTTTACGGAAGAAAAAGGGTGCAAACAAGAGGGAAAAGATTTTGGTGAAATTTTGGAGACTGTTTGGAAGGATTTAACAACGGGGATTTGGAGTATCAAGGTCTGATCTGAAAAGATTTTCTCCAAAATCAAACAGTGAACGACGTGAGGGGTGAGGAATAGAACGTGTGTGCAAAAGAGGGGGTGAGGAATGTGGTGGTGTTGCCACTTACTTGTCGGCAGAGTACAGTGCTCCACCCACATTATGCCATGTGTTACTTTCTGATTTTTTTGCGTTTTTAACATTGTTTTTGACTTTTTTCTTTTAATAGCATATGTACGGGCTGCCATGCCCTTTCCTATCATGCCACTTGTTGCGATACAATTAACTCATTTTTTTTTATGTTTTCCTTTTAAAAAATTAATAAATTTTTAAAAAATTATAAAAAAATATATTTATAAAGATTTTATTTTTGTATGAGACCTATTATACCAAATGTTTTTTTTTTATTTTTATTATTTATTTAAAAATAACAATTAAAATTTTTTATTTTTTTAAAATACTTTAATGATGTATGGTTTACAATCTTTTTTTTTATTATTATTGCATGTCATTTTTTTGGTTTTACATTTTTTATTTTTTAAAAAATTATTTAATAAATATTTTTAAAAATGATAAACTTCTATATATATTTTAGATTTTTTTTAGAGTTGCTTATATCAAACTTTTTAATCATAATTATGAAAATATTTTTATATTATATTTAATTAAAATTATTATAATATTTTTAATTATAATTATAAAAAATATATTTTTTATTAATTTATGTAATATTTTTTTACCATAATTATGAAAACTCCCTCGTACCATTAATCTTAAGCCAAAAAAATGTCTCGTGTCGGACGCTCAGCTTGTCACGTGGCAGCCCTTTAATATTTATTTTTATTTTTTTTATATTTTTAAGTTATGAGATTCACTTATTTCTTAAATTTTTTTTTTTAAAGTGTGGGTTCACATTTCTTTTTAAAGTGTTGGGCTTTCTTTTTCAATTGGTTTCTTTTTATTTTTTGGTGGGGTTCACATATCGTTTAAAATTTTATAAAGGACGTGGGGCTCACATCTTTTTTTTTTTAAGATGTGACTCCCAATTTTTTTGCAACTAGTTTCGTTTTTTTTTTGTTATTTTTTTATTGGTGGAGCTCACATGCTTTTAAATTTTATTTTAAAAGATGTAGGGCATTTTTTAATTTATTTTTTGATTTTTTATTATTTTTAATATTTTAAAAAATTATATTTTTTTTGTTGGATTCATTTATACAAAATTTTTTTTATTTTTTATTTTTGCTTTTTTACTTTTTTTTTTTAAGTTTTTTCAGACAAAATTTTTTTTTCATTTTAATTTGATTTTAAAGCTCACTTACTATTAAAACACAAGATGTTTTTTTTTTTTTTTTCATTTTTAACATAATTGATAAATATTTTTTGATTTAAATTTTTTTTGATCCACTTTATTTAAATGATATACAAAATGTTGAGTCATTTTATTTTTCATTCATTATTTCTATTAACTTTTTTAATATTTAATAGTTTTTATATTTTGATTTTTTTAATATGGGCCATTTGAGATTATTATAAAAAATATATGTTTGATTTTTTTATTTTTTATTTTTTAATTTGATCATTTTTAAAGAAAATTATATTTATGAATTTGTTGGCTTTGTATTTGAATTTAATTTTTCTCTTTTTTTGAATTTTTTTTAGTTTTGATTTTTTAATTCATAATATAAAATTTTTCATAAAAACTCATTATTGTTGATATCACGTATGAACTTAATTTCCTTAAAAATAATCATGATTTCTTTTTAATTACATAATAATTGAATTACATGTATCTAAATTAATTGTAATGTCTTTTCTTTTATGATTAACTAAAATTATTATAATGTCTCTCTTAACATAATTACTATAATGCCCTGCAACAATAATTATGAAAATATCCTCTTACTATTATTTGCCATGACTATAAAGCTATTTGTACTATATTTACAAAAATGCCCCTCATATTATTATTTGTCAAAATTGCTATAATATCTTTTAACCATAATTACAAAACACCCTTTTAATTATTTCATATAATGCCTCTTTAATCATAATTATGAAAATATATCTTTCATGTTCAATTGGCCAAACTTATTATAATATCTCTAAGTATGATTACGATAATACCCTTTTGATTATTTCATAATTATGCATTAAATTTTAATATCATATAATAATATGAAATTAATTTACCTAGAAATGATCATGATGTCCTTTTAATTACTTGAAAATTAAATTACATGCATCTAAATTGATTGTATTGCTTTTTTTTTTATGATTAACTAAAATTACTAAAATACGTCTCTTAACATAATTACTAAGATACCTTTCTCACCATAATTAGCCAAAGTTACTCTATTGCCCTCAACAACCATAATTACGAAAATGCCTTCTTACCATAATTGCAAAAACACTTGTCATATTATAATTTGTTAAAATTACTTTAATACTCTATAACCATAATTATGAAAATGCTCTCATACCATAATTACAAAAATACCTCTCATATTATAATTGATTAAAATTATTGTATGAGTAAAATTTAAGATTTCTCTTTAAAATCGAATATATTCAGTTCTAATCACACTTAAAAAAAAAGATTGATGGTAATTTCTTTAGTCAAATCTAGCGATAGGTGCATGGATCTAAACGTTATTAACAGTTTGGTGACTCCACTGGGGACAAGCCAAGAGTCAGGTTAGCAAATAAATTTATGTTATCCAAAAGCCTAATAAAATTGATTTTTTTAGATATTTATTTATTTATTTATTTATTTATTTTGCTTATTATGTCATTCATATGCATATGTATAACATGAGCTTTACATTCGAGTTTCGTCCTTTTAGGAGGGAATAAAGTATCTAGTTCTTTCGTGAGGTTTTAATACCTTCGTAGTGGCTAGTGAAATATTTCACTCAAATTGAATTCTTTTTGCTTGTAGCTTGTAATGGGAGAGGATCGGAGTGCCTCACTAGTCTGTAATAGACAAAGATGTGAGGAATAATTTGAGAACCTTTAGATTATCAACCTTAAATCACATATAGTGACCATAAAAAACCTAACTTGTAGGTAGAGTCTTACTTTCCCTTTTGTAGAAAAAATCCAACAGTGAAGTTACATTTTTGCAATGATTGATTTTTCTTACAAGGAAATTAACTGTTTGTACATATCATGTTGCATGAATTGTCATTTTGAAGTGTATGATAAGGTGTATGTTAGTTGAATTTCTTCATTCATCTATTTTTCTTTTGTTTAAAGCAAAATAACATTAGGTTGCATATATTTTTGCATTCATTTCACATGTGTTAACTTGAAATCTTGGTGGTTGCATATTGAGACTATTTTCATAATCCTTCCTTCATGGCATGAGTATGTAGTAATGTAAGCATCTTAATTTATGGTAATCAAAGGTTCAATGATAGCTCGACCATCGAAGACTCTTATCCAACGTACTCGTCATTTATATAATACTTGATCACAAACAAGGCAAATGGAGCAAGTAGAAAATAACCGTATGGATAAGATTGAGAAAGCTCAAAAAGAGTTAAAAGTGGAGTTGGTGAAGATGATGAGAATGTTAAAGAAGTTACATAAAGGCAATACAATAGAAAAGACCCTCAATTCAAATGAAAAACAAAATATCATGGATCTTTTGCATCATCCCGGGTTTGGCCTAAATTAAGGCCAATCTTCTTAAAACACACAAGCCCTGTAAATGCCATTTTTTGGGGCATATGCTTACATATATCCTGAAATACCATTTTGTAACTGCACTAACACTACCTTTGGGGTAAAAGCATATGATCTATTTGAAGTTTTTGATTTTCATGACCATAAAGAGAAGGAGAGATTAAAGATAAAGACTTTTAAGATGATGGAGGATTTAAGCACGCAACAAATAAACCTTTTAGAAGGGAGAGTGCAAGTTATTAAAGGAATGGATTATTTTGGCTCTATTGATGTAGTTGAACTCTATTTAGCTTTAGATGTGGTCATTCCACTGAAATTTAAAGTCACAAGATGCTTTGTAACTCATGTTACCATGTACTATTGTAAAATGGTTGCCATGCTTAAAATGAAAAGCTGTTGATCATGTATTCCAAGATAACTTTACTACTTTAGTCCCGAGATGGTATGTCTAGTTAGACAAAACCCATATATACTATTGAAATAAGTTGGCAAAAGCATTCATTACCTAATACTGACACATTATAGATTTAACTCCAGATCGTCTATCTCTACACAGTATGAAAAAAAAACTTTTTAAAAACTTTAAAGAATATGCACAAAGATAGAAAGATGTTTCTGTTCAAGTTCAACCACCTCTTACTAAAAAGAAAACAATAATTTTATTTATGAGTACTTTGAAAGCTCCATATTATA